GAGAGAATAAACAAGATAGTTTTAATTACAGTAAGAAATTAGATATTGACAAACAAATATTGAAAATACAATAAATTTCAATTAAACGCTGCAAAATATTAAAATTAATTGTTTAGTATAAATTAATTAGTTCTAACTGATCAATATAAATTTTTTAATTTGTTCTTAATAATATAGAATATATAGAACAGATTTAATTTTAATAAAAAATTATTGCCTTCAATCATATTTATTATAGTTAAATTGTACATACACTCAGGGAAAAAATTGTTCTGATTGTGTCTGAAAACGTGTCTGTTTGAGTCTCAAAAATAGCTTTATACCGTTTGGTATCATTATAAGAATTTATGGTATTATTTTAAGAACGAATTTTTAAGACCGCTGTTCTTACTCTAAGAACGAAACGTACTTAAATTTATTTTTATTTTTAGTACCAAAATAAATTTCTTTGAATGCTCCTGTAAGCATTCTGCCATGGAAGGAAATAATAAGGCCATGGCCCAGGGGCCAAGGTGCTGGATTCTAGTATTATTTTGTGTTTGGGGGTACGAGGTTCAATTCCCGCTCACAACACAACTTATTTTTTTTTTTTTTGTAATTAGTAAATTAACAACTTAACTTTTTTAATACATTTTTGTTCTTAAAGTTATAAAGGAAATGTTAATTGAAATACATTTGAAAAACTTTTTACTTACTTTGACTTATTCGGGTTTTGAACCGGAGTCCTCTCGCATCAGAGTCAGACGCCTTACCAACTGGGCCATCGCACCGTGTTACGCGCGCGTGCATAAGTTCAACTTAAATCTAAATTTACTGGTCTTAAATCAATACCCTTTGGTATCAATATAAGAATATGGTCTTAAAAAAATAAAAGAACAAAACGGTAGTAATGTAAGAAATTCGGTCTTAGATTTTTTCGGTCTTTTTTTTCTGGGTGTACCTACTTAAAATAATGCAAACAGCTTTAAGCTGTGAAAATTATAATGTTAAGTCTCAACAATTGCACATCCTCCTCATCAATGTGGCAAATATAAACAGCTGGCGTTAGCATATTGGCCCAGCAGATATTTTAATTCGGGCCAGTAAATCGCTTGCATATTTGGGCGACATTAGCCCTGACCACGCCCACACATCGTCTGGAGAAAACAATAGCCATAAATGTTAACAAGAAGCCGACGCGTCGGCCCACAAAGCACAGTACTTAATGATGCCCAACCAGGGGGAGTCACTCGAGCCGAAAGTTGTGGGCCAGGACATTTAGCATGTGCCGGTGACAGGTGCTAATGCTAAGGCGTCTGCCTCGGATTCGAATGCCATTTCTATCTGCCCATGGAATTAATTAGAAAACTGCGGTCGGGTCTTTTCCCTTTCCATGTCCTTCAGAGCATTCGGCAGCAAATTTAATTTGCGGTTACCTCAGCAGGCGCAAGGACACAAGGACACACACAGCCAGGCAGGCATTTAAATTTGCTGGTGAAAATCTCAGGAAATTCCTTGATTAAATCTCATCTTTTTTCGGGGGGTCGAGGCTGTGATTGATTAACGTGTGTGTCGAATTGAAAGTGTTGAACGTAAAGTGAGTGCAGACATGTATCCTCATATCCTTATCCTTGAGCAGCAACAAAAGTCAAACTACGTCTCATTGCCAGCCTTTATGGCGAATGACTGATTGTCCTTGGCCCTCGTCTGCAGCCAGGATCCCCTTTTTTTTGTATCCATAACTGAGCAGCCGGGCGAAGGCGACACGTTTGCCATGAAAAATCGTTCCAGCGAATCTTATTACAAAACATGTGCTTAAGTAATAGCATCCGAAGTGAAGTCGTGTAACAGATTGCCAATCCACTCCGGGCAAACGGGGTTAAGATTAATTTGTTTGCACTTTGATGGCTGATGGAAGTCAAAATTGAATCGAGGACGGGAGTCAAGGACAAGCTTTGAAGTCTTATTGATTTTTTATTGGATCAGGTAATAATCCCTGAAAAAATAGCAAATTAGAGATAACCCCTTTATGAAATTGATCTAGAAAATATATCAATATCTTATATCTATATCAATATTTCTTGAATAAATTCTATAGATTGGGTATTGTTATCAATGCCCTTAAACACCACTCAATCAAGCCTTCAGCCCAGCACAGTGACTATCAAAAGTATGCGCATAACTCAAAAGGCGCCATTTGCATGCTTCAAGTGTTCACAAATGGGATTCGGACTTGGATTTTTCCGCATTGCATAAATTCCCTTTGCGCCAGCTTGACGAGGGGAAAACTTTTTGCAACATTTTATCAGATTATGAAACACACAAAATGCAACTTCCCGTGCCGGGGATATGTACTAAGGAGAAAGAAAAATAGAACTCGAATGTGTTCTTACCGTACCCACATATTTTGCCAAGTAAGCGGAAACATTAAAATTGTATTTGCGAGCCAAAACCGCGGGAGCTGAGGGGCTTGAAAACTGAAGCACAACAATTGCGTATCCAGGGGGAGCAACATAAAAGGTGCACAGGCGAAAAGTCCTCTGAAAATAGCTCAAGTTTGAATAGAAAACTTGTGATAAATTACAAATAAAAAAGTATTGAAAATACACCGCATTGTAATTTGATTCTTAGTTTGCTGAATATTTCTTAAAAAGGGAAGAAAAATAAAAAATTTAAAATGTTTTTTTAATTTATTGCTAATAATAATAATATAACCAATTAATTGTGCACCGAATTTCCTTTCTATTATTAAAGCTTCTTAAAAGTTATTTTTAAAAGTTTGATTAAAAATCCAAATGGCAAGCTAATATCACGAATTTATGGATTTTTCCGCCAAAATATCTCGTGAGCGAGTGAAGCACGCTTACAGTTTTTCCCTGAATGAAGAAGTAAAAAAACACAGGTGGTAAAACAAACAAGCTGCACGCGAAAATCGCATCAGCAATTTGTAAAGGACAGAAGATATGGAGGCAAAAAAATGAAAGCATGCTATTGAGGCCACTGAAATGCTGATGCTTTGCGATAGTCCAATCGGTGACCCCGATTGGCCGCATATCCTTATCAATCTCTATTAAACGATGCTTTGGAAAACAGCATTTGAATTCGGGCGCTCGGGCTGTTGCGGTGTTGAAGATGCAGACTCTTGTCTGCGGCATCGGGCAAAAAGCCATGACAAATGGCCAACAGGATGCATATTTATGATGGCACATACTCCTCTCGAAATGTTGACCACACTCAAGGGCAGGCTAAAATGGTGACGTTGTTGCTGCAGCCACTTTGGCAGTACTCGGGTAAAATGCCAGCACAAACTTTATACGCACGTAGTCAATTACTCACACCAAGTTGGCTGGGAAAGCAGTACCACCCACTTAGCCACCCAACCACCCAGTAAACCCACCGCCCACTCACACGTGCTTGCATAGAATACACATATTTGTGTACCGACGTGTATTGTCATTTTCCATTTTGGCAGCTCGAAAAAAGTAAACAGAACGGAGCAGATAAATTAAACCCGTCCAAACTGATGCGGCCTTGTCATTCTATTCAATCTGCCAATCCCTGGGGTATTTTTTTTAAATTATCACAGCACTTTCAACGGATTTACATACACGTTTTTAAAAAAAAATTATAAAAATGTTTCATTAGATTCAATTTTTTATGGCATATAAGCATTTGAACTGCATTCGATAGTTAAGATTTTCGAGTGAATCATAGATTAAAGATTTTTAAACAATAAATAGGTTGTATAAAAATTGAGATAAAATAATTTTAAATAGAGTAATATACCTTGATTTTATTTATATAACTTAAAATAAATAATTCATAACTGTGCACCATGTTACTTTAAAATCAATTCGAATGGCCTTTTAACGAGCCTTCAAACACATTCCTACCCGTCCAAAAATTTAAATTCGTTTTGCATGTATTCCCCACAGAACAAACAAGAACAACTCAATAAATATTGCCCAGGATATAAAATTGAAAGTATTGCCTAAGCCCATAAACCAACAAGACTCTTAGCCTGCTCCTTCGACCTCCGGCCTCTTGTTGTCTTTCGATCTGAACCTTGTTCGCTCTTTGTCTTAATTTCTTAAAAGGCCGAGACAATTACAATTGGAATTTATTTGGCATTGTGGTCAGCACCGGAAAAGGAAAACAGGGAGCGATGCTGCAGAGATGTCATGAGTTACTGTTAATTAGAAAATTGTTATTCAAGGGATTGAAGTCTGGTTTCGAGGTTTAAAGTGTAAATGCGTGTTGCAGATAGATTAAAAACACTTAAAGTTTAACTTCCAATTGAATTATAGGTAGATTTAATCATTCAGTAAATGACATAAAACTATATTTTGTTTTAGTTCTCGGATTGTATAGCGTATACGAGAAGAAAAACATTGTTCCATAACCTTGAAGTAAGGAACACTTCTGTTTTAATAATGCCCTACAAATAACGAAATTGTTTGTCCTAAGACTTTGAAAAAATTCGATTTATATAATTTGTTGAATTGCGTTTTAGTTTTTAATATTTCAAAACATTTTTGTTGACTTTTTTTCGAAATGGTGGACGGAAGCGCCATTTTTTTAGGCAGAATCGAGTGGCGCCCCCTAGTGTCAGGAATACGCCATCTAGGAAGCAAAAGTATGCACATGTAAAAAACATTTTGGAGACATTTACAGAAATTTTTTTTAGCTTTTACAATCTGGACGTTCATACGGAGATATGAAAGACCAAGAATACATATACTTCATAAAGTCTGAGAAGCTTCCTCCGAAATGCAACACAATTTAAAAAAATACCCCTCTATTTTACAAGTAATTTAAATTTAAACTCTTCATCTTCAATAGATAAAGCAACAGTTATTTATTTCTTGATAGAAAAATAAAATCATTAATACATAATCATTATATATATATACGTTCCTGACAATGCCTCAAGCCGTGGCCCAAATTTTGGACTCTAGAAGGGCTAGCAGAATGGTGTTTTACAATTATTTCGCTGATGCTCTAGACGTTTTCTTTTGGCTCAGCTTAAATGGCTTAAATGTTAGAAGCGAGGTGCTCGACTGTCCCACGAAAAAGGGGTTCCGTTCCCTTAGCTTAGCTCTGAATGTAACCAAAACCTGATTTTCTTAATACATTTCGCTGTAACTATATCATCTACAAATACTCAAAATACAGCTGGTGACTGAAGAAGACATTTGGAGTTTACAATTACAATAACAACTACGAAGAGGTAAATGCTAAATAATTAATAATATTTTATCATTTAAGCTATGTGCTGTACTGTAGTTTTTGTTTCTCTTGCTGTTGCGGTATTGATGCTCCCTTTGAAGGGAAATTCCCAGGGAATTAGTCATAATTAGAAGCCCAGTGCAACTGAAACTCGGTCAACGTAACCAAACGTTCGTGATTGATCTAGCGATTTCTGGACTGTGCTTTAGTTTTGGTCTAGCGATCAAGAAAGGTACCTTTCTAACCCAACCTTAACTCCTAAGTGCATTCGAATGTGCGTCTAGTAAACGACGGGATTCGGATCGCGTGGCTTGCGTGAATACTTGAGGCCCAGATCGTCGGCGATCTCGTCTATCGCCTCCAAGGCAAAGTCCAGCTGCTCCTTGGTGTGGGCGGCGGAAAGGCAGAAACGGATGCGACCTTCCATAATGGGCGTGGCCGGGAATCCAGCACCCACCGCAGCAATGTGCCGGGTAGTCAAGGTGCGAACCACAGCGCTGAAAAATATTACAAATTTTTTAATTAAATTACATTGAAAACTTAGATGCTATTAAAACTCAAACCTACCCAATTTTAGAAAATAGGTAGACCAGCATAGGTACCACTGGGGAGTCCTCGTGACCATATGTGATCACTCCCAGCTGGGCCAGTCGTCGACGGAAGTAACGCGTGTTCCTGGCAAGCTGGTGTATCTTCTTGCGGCCAATTTCGGTGCCATCCTCACCCATAATGGTCTTCATGGAGGTCAGGATCTGCTGGGCTATGGGTGGCGAGATGGACGCAGCATAGCAGTGGGCGTGGCTGTTGGTGCGGAGGAAGTCGATCAGTTTCTAGAGAGAAAAACAGATTAGTTTGGGGTATTCAAAAGAGTAACCTTATATCCTTACCTTTGAACCTGCCAGATAGCCACCGGCACTGCCGAAACTCTTTGTGAAAGTGCCCATCAGAATGTCCACCTCATTGGGATCCACATTAAAGTAATCAGTGACTCCTCGCCCTCTTGAACCCATGGCTCCAACGCTGTGAGCTTCATCCAGATACAAGTAGGCCTTGTATTTCTTTTTCAGAGCAATGATCTCGGGTAAACGGACAACTGAACCTTCCATGCTGAAGATGCCCTCGACACATATCAAGACCTTGTCCCATGGCTGGCCGCCTTTTTTGGGATTTCCATAGCAAATGCCCTGGCGAAGGACTCGCTCCAGATCCCGCACGTTGTTGTGCTTGAAGACCTTGGTAGTGGCTCCGGACAAACGCAATCCCAGGATGATGGAGGCATGGTTCTTTTCGTCACTGATCACCAGACTATTTGGTCCCAGGAGCGAGGGAAGGTTCAAAGCATTCGTGGCGAAGCCCATGCCGAAGACAATGGCATCCTCCACGCCAAAGTATCTGGCAGTTTGGGCCTCTAGCTCTCGCAGCTGCTCGTTGTCACCCAGCTCACAGCGGGAGCTGCAGTAGGCCAGTCCAGCATCCCGAGCACTTTCCTCCGAATCATCAGCACATCGTCCAGTGGCGGCGGCAAAGCCCAGGTAATTGTAGGATCCCAGATTCAAACAGCGCGTCTCCGTTCCGGTAAACTTGAAACTCCAGCCATAATCATCGGTCACGCGATCCTTCAGAGTGAGCTCCTCCCCGGGAACACTGCAGATCGGTCGGTTCCAGCAATCCTTGATCCGCCTGTAAACATACCGCGAGTAGAAGCTCTCGAAGGCATCGTACAAGCCCACATAACCCTCTCGACCCTTCTCGGTGGCCACTTTGGGAACGAAGAGCAGCTGGTTGATGTAGCCCAGGATCATCAAGAGGTAGAATCCCAGGTACGTAAGGCAGGCCGTGTGCAGGGGCACCTCCTCGAAGGAGGTCTTCTGGAAGTGCTCGAGTTCCGGCGAGAGTTTGCCCTCCGCCTGGTTGGGCTTGGACTCCTGATCCTGATTTTGGAAGGAGGCATGTCCATTGGGCATCGACTTCTTCTCCGGATGGTAGTTGATCAAGCTGGGACTCTGTGAAAGGAAAGAGATTCACGATTAGTTTTCGGTTATGGGTTATTGACTAGTTATATCGCTGGGAATCTACATAGCACTCATTGAAATTCACTTATCAGAGGGCTGATAATCACCGTTAAAAGAGGGATCGGCAGAGGGGATTGTATGACCAACAGGTGCGAAATATAATTAATTTCGAGGGGAGCTACACTGGGAAAATAATTCCATAAATGAAGTAAACAAATATTAAATGGAAATATCAGATTACTCCCTTGAAAAAATACTCTCCGTCATATTCATGAAGTCTCTCAGATAGCACATCTTAACTTGCTTGCCCTTTTCATGTTTTCGCTCAATTCCCCAGCCAATTAACATTAAACTAACAGATCCATATATGCAAGGTACCATCTATATAGTCACACGACAACTGAATGATGAACAATTTGCTCCGTCGCTCACATGAGCCGAGCTCGACATGAAGTCACACAGAGAGAGAAACAGACACAAAATGGGGAAGCCATATATTTCTGAATGCGACAATTGCCCAACTTGGCACACTTCAACCTCACTGGCTAACAAATAGAGCGTTATAATTAACTTACTTATTTGTATGTACATATCACTCGCTTATTGATTTTGCAGGCCAAAGGATCCGATAGGAGTATCTCCCATTAATTGAGCCATTCGCTTTGCTGATATATAAAGCGTTGCATATATGCAAACTTAATCGTATAACAATAACGAGTCGGCGACAATAATATTTCGTGTTTATTATCATTTGCCACCGGGCTTGTTTACTAAATATTGGAGAGATACAGTGAGGGGAGGGAAAGATCAAGTGGGTTACGCGCTGATGGGTTTTTTAATGGACTGACTGGGTTAGGGTATGTATGTGTATATAGACGAACAAGCGGAGTAAATAGATAAAAATCGAAACCGAGTTGAACAAATAAATAAAAAATGTGTAATACTAATTACGCGATTGAGTGGGTGAAAAAGGAGGACAGGAAGGAAGGAAGAAAGGGGAAAACGGGGGGTGAGAACTAGATAATGACTTCCATATGTTTGCGGATCCATGGAAGCCAAGATAATGGACTGACAATCGACCAGCGCACGCCAAAGTTCTAAAGACTTTCATGGGGATTCCAAGAAGTATTACCTGTGAGTCATTAGGTAATTGCTTTGAGACACTTCGAGTATTTCTCTTTTAAAATAAATTTACTCATATTTTCTAAGATTTCTTTCTTAACATGGTTTATTATCCAAGTCACTATCTAAAACACCTTTGCTATTTAGACTTAGACTTTTTAAATAGTCTAAGCATACTGATAAAAATTAGCTATGCCTTGATACGAAATACCAAGGTTTGCACGCGCGGACATTCTAATAGCCCAAATAAACAGTACCACATGGTGAGAAATGTGTAAACTTTCTGTCTTATTCTGTACCAACCGTGTAAGGTCTTATATTCATTAAATATAGCAAAGAATAAATTCTACGGAAAATATCTTATTATTTTTCTAAGAAGAAAACTCAACTATCGTTTATGGGCTTGAAGACGTCACCTATAATGACTTATATTTCGAAGTTCTTATAGATTCCAAAAAATAGAATCATTATATTTACTTTATCTTAATAAAATATAATATAATCTGTTAAGTAAACCTTTAAAATACTGCCCCAGACATTCTAACTCTCCCCAAAAATAACAAAAAAAAATCTTATCACCGACAAATCAACGCCCACCCGAAAAGCACTGCCTTTGGAGATTGCGGGAGCATTGTGATTCACCTCGAATAGCATTCTGCGAGGCTTTACGTAAAAGATTGGCCGGAATGGGCCCGATAAGGCGGGCCCGGCATGGCATGGCATGACAATATTATTACCAGACCACGGTGTATCGGGTATTTAGGGGCGCTCTCCACAAACAATGTGCACCCAAATATATGTATTTGTTTTGGGGACGGACAACCAACCTCAGGGAAAATTACGAATGAGTACAGGAGTGCTAGATTACACAGTGCATATGATTACATTAATGTTAAATACGTAGAAAAAATGATATATTTACTATTACTTATAGTATTTATTTTAGTTCTTTTTGGATAAGTAAGATTACTATATTCTCACGATACCATAGAAATTCCCCAAAATGTGGGGGGAATCATTATACTTGATAAAAGTACTTTTTATATTAAAGAGCTGGTAAAAACCTAAGCTGACTAATTTGATAATCGGCTTTAGTTTCTTTAGAAAATTATTATTTTTACTTTTCTGCTAAATTTAAATTTGACCCCTAAAAAATAGCCAAAATATTCCAATTGGCCAGCACTTGCGGCGAATATGAAAGCATGCGAGGAAAACACTGCAGTAAGGAAAACAGCTGTAGCTGTGGGCTGACCCAGAAAATAGGAAAAGCCAAGGAAATTCGCCCCAAGAATAATTGGGGCGAACTTCTCCAGCTGACGCACCCTTACTCCCTCTCTCTCTCTCCCTCACTCTCCCACTCACAAAATCGCCGGCAGAAAGAGAGAGCGGGAGGGAAGGTTAGAGGAATGGAACCACATTTTCGGCCAATTTTAATGGGCTTTTTATTATGGTTTTGGTCAGGTTTTCGGCTTCCTACACTGCGCGAAAATGTTGCGCTCACCTTGGCGTCGCCTGTGGGCTTTGCTGCATGGCAGCGTCGCGTGCGAATTTCCGTGTATGCGGGTGCCGAGAATTTTCGCTGGCCGAGAAGTTCCTCCTTTTCCGGAGGACTGAAGTGCGCCGCCCCGTTTCCATTCGCCACCTTTCCATTTCCGTTTGTCGTCGCGTAGCTCTGCTCGAAAACCGTACCAGAATCGCCGTCGAAATTGCCCATTTTTCCGATCCTCCGGTTCCCGATTACTCAAACGCGCCCAAAAAATTACAGAGAAAAAAAATTGCGTTTAGGTTTAAATAGGTTTTTTTTCCAGAGGTGGGGGAACGTCGATATACCGAAAGTGACTATCGATGATTCCACATCAATAAAATGTTAATAGCCTCTTCCCACAGACTCCATCCGATAACAGCTGACTTGAACAGCTGTTTACATAAGACTATAGTTAAAGAAAAGATAGTGCAGACTATTATTTTTTAGTTTTTTTTTTGTTTTGATTAAAACTGTTTTAATTGTACCGCCGATGCTTCGCAAAACATCGATACATCGATATCAGCCGTAAAATATCGGCAAAAACATCGATGCCCGATGTATCGTCGATGTATTTAACCTAGTTTTTTTTTCTTAATTAGTGAAAAGTTTTAAAATTTAGATAAATTGTAACTTAAGTGAACCGAGCAGATTGCGCCCACGTAATCTTATTGCCCTGAAGATGCGACCAGTATTTGCCTTCCTGCTCCTGGCGCTCCTGTGCTTTGCCAGCACAAAATCGGAGGAGAGTGATTTCGAGGAGGATGACAGCGATGATTTTGCCGAATTCGACGACGGCAACTTCTACGCGGAGCCAGCGGCCAAGAACGCCGATTCCTTTACCGGAGGAGCAGGGTCCAGCCACGGGGAATCCCGCGAGGATCCGCCCGCCAAGGAGCCACGCAAGCCAGCACAAAATGTGGAGAGCGACGAGGAGGATGGACTCGTGGAGGATGACGATGAATTCGAGCACTTCCAGGTAAACAAAGACAGGTGTTTGCTTTATAAGGGGGTCGTAAAGGGTTAGGAACCTTGATGAGGTGTTAAATTCCCTTTGTATAATGTTTAATTAATAGATTTCCATTGAGATTGTTAGGATTTTTAGGTTTTCAGTTTTCTTTCGTCATACAATTTGCATACTTTTCATTTGGATCTTCAAAAAATCATTAGCTAATTAATTAAAACTATGTTTCTAAACTTTCACCTTTGTGACAAAGTGTTTTTCTTTAGCTTTATATAAGTACTTCTTTATAATTTAAGAAGGTTTATCCCAAAGTCACCACCTATTTGTAAAACTTATTAAAAATGTGAGTTACTAAATTATGTAACTTAGATACTTATCATTTGTAGTTACTAAAGTTTGACTGTACTCAGTTACTGAGTCTCAATGGGTAGTACCCTCATGTTTTTATTCATAGTTTGAACTTCGAACTCAGGAAAACAAATTTCTCCTCAAAGATCCAAAGTTTACTAACCACTGTATATATATTTTTTTTTGACAATATGATAAATTGATTAAAATTAGTTTTAAATATATATTTAAATATATATATATATATATATATATATATATATATATATATATATATATATATATATATATATATATATATATATATATATATATATATATATATATATATATATATATATATATATATATATATATATATATATATATATATATATATATATATATATATATATATATATATACATATATATATATTTAAATATATATTTTATATATATATATTTAAATATATATTTTATTGCATTCCATTTTTTTCCTTTAGTTTAAGACACATTAAAATATATAACTTATTGCCATTTCTGAAATCAAATTTTAAATCTCCCAAAAACCACTTTATAATTTTTCCAGGACGAGGAGGAGTTCGAAGGCTACGATGGCGGCGACTCCAAGGACCCGCCCATCGACCACAAGGTCGAGCCCAAGCTAAACATACCCAACATCCCGCTGCACTTCCGCACCCACTGGGACTCCTACTGGATGGAGATGCTCATGGTGGCCGGCTTGCTGGCCTACTTTGCCAACTTCTTTGCGGGAAAGGCGAAGAATGCTCGCTTGGCGCAGCTCTGGTTCAGTACCCACAGGGCCCTGCTGGACGAGAACTTCGCTCTGGTGGGCGACGATGGCAAGGCGGAGAACGAGAATCCGGGCCTGATCAAGGAGAGCGAGAGCCTCTACACCCTGTGGTGCTCCGGCAGGACCTGCTGCGAGGGCATGCTCGTGGAGCTAAAGATGATCAAGCGCCAGGATCTGGTGTCCCTGGTGGCGGGATTGATGCGACCACAGCTGGATCAGGCCCACATCAAAATTGAACTCACGCGCGGCGTAGCGGATGCATTTGTATTTGCAGTCGGTACCAAAAAGACCATCACCAAGGTGTTTAAGGAATACACGGATCTGGTAGGAGGATACACTTCAGTACTCCAAACTTATATTTACTATATTTTACCCCCTTTCGCTTGCAGAGCAAGTTTTGTAGCCTAGTCGGCAAGCCAGAGGATCGCTACAATGTGCCCAGCGGCTTTGCCGTGCTCTCCGAGGTCCCGGAGGCCACGTCCGCCATCCTCGAGTCACGTATTATCACCGCACTTAACAAGTACCAAAGCTATATCGATTACCTGCACATCTCGGACCAGTTCAGTGGGCCCATCCAGCAGGAGGAGGGCGGTACCCTCAAGCAGCCCGAGACGAAGGCCGTTCTCCTCGCCGGCTTCAATCTGCCGAAGCACGCCGAAATGGAGACCATTAAGCCGTTGTTATTGTTGATCTTTTATTTGATGGAGCGCCTGAAGACCTACCGCATGTCCAAGGAGGTAAGAATCCATGACTATTGAAATGAATTATAGCTAAATTAATGTGGTTATTACAGGGCAAAGCCAAGTCGGACAAAAATCGCCAGCGCGTGGAGGAGGAGTTCTTGAAGAGCACCCATGCCGCTCGGGCCGAAGCTGCCGCCCAGCGACGCGAGGACAAGCGCAAGCAGGAGAAGGAGCGCATCCTGGCCGACGAGGATCCGGAGAAGCAGCGCCGCTGGGAGGCCAAGGAGCAGAAGCGCCAGGCCAAGCGGAATGCGCCCAAGATGAAGAGGCTGGCCGTCAAGTCCCTGTAGATTTATCTCTAGTGTGCCATTAGCCGCGAGGAGCGCTCCTCCTTAACGTACGCAAACCGACCATTTGTAGCTGTTCCTCTCAAATGCCAGAATAAAGCAATATCTATTTGTTTCCTATGGAGCGCCAAAACAAAAGCCACAGTTGTGCTTATGTAAGCTGGATTATAGAAAGAACGAGGTTGTTACAAAAACAGATAAGCAACGATGAGATAATGAGTAAGATAAGTGCCAGCTATTGTAAAATAAGTTCTTTATTTTCTGAACTCATTTTTCTGTCTACGATTTGTGTGAGTCAACAAACTAAAGTTGAAACTTGTACTAATTTAAATGTTCTTTAAATCTTTTCAGTCCTGCGTGAATCATTCAATTTTTGTTTTATCATAGTATGCCATGAAATTTCTGATTTGTTTAATTCAATTCTATGTTAAATAAATTGCATACTTTTCTAATTCATTTAGAATTGAATGAATGAATAAATAATTTCAATCATTCAATTCTATTAAACTCAAAATTCTAATTCATTCATTTATCAAAATAATTCATTGAATCCATTTATGCAGGGCTCTAGTTCAAATCCCTAATATTTTAATAGTTTTCCAAATTGGCCGAAAGAATACTTGTATATTTATTAGATTGACTAGGATTTTGTTTACAGCTAGATTTATGTGATACGTTTTGTGAAGAAACGAAGGAAAGCAACACTTGTTTTCACAGGCACGCCAAACATATTTCATCATTTAGCACTTGACGGGAAAGCAGTTCTCGTTGGACACATAGGCGATATGATTGCGCAGCGTTTTGATCTGCTTCTGGGCGGCATCGAAGCTGTAGGAGAGGGTATTCAGCTGGCCCTGCATCTCCCGGATGACCGCCTCTCGATCGTTCACAGACAGCGAGGCAGTTGCTCGGCACTGGGCCAACTCCTTCTCCAGCCGATTGATCTGCTCCTGCTGCTGGGACTTGATCAACTCGGCCCGTTCCTTGGTGCCGGCTATAATCTTGGCCGACTCGGTGCGCAGCGTGTCCAGATCGTCTTGGGTGGACTTGAGCTGTTCGCAGAAGAGATCCCGCTGCCGCAGCAGCTCCTCCAGCTCGTTCCTGGCCTGGGTCAGCTCCATTTGGCACTGGGCCAGCTGGGGACGCACATCGACATTGGGCTGCTGCTCCATCTGAGCCTTGCAGGCCTTCAGCTCCTTGCAGACCACCACCAGCTTCGTCTGCATCTCGTCCTTCTCCTTGCACACCTGGGCCAGCTTCAGTTGCTCGTTCTCCAGGAGCTTGGGGAAGTGCAGCAGCTCGTTGAGCTTCTCCTGGAACTTGGCTCGGATCTCCTTGACCTCCGTATTGATTTGCTGTTCGATGCGTTTGTTGTTCATATTCAGCTTCTCCAGCGAGACGCACTGCTCCTCGACCTTCTGCTGGGCCAGCAGGTACTTGTTGCGGTAATCCTCCAGCTGCTGCGACTGCTCCTTCATGATGCACTTGAACTCCAGCTGCTCCTCCTTGAGTTCGTTGACCCGGGCGCGAAGAAGATTTAGTTCCGCGGCATCGGCATCCCCGTCGCCGCCTTTCGAGGGGCAGGGACCGCAGATGCCCTTCATTCTGCAGGATTAATATTTTTATTTATTTATGTAAATATTTATACCCGTTACTCGTAGAGTAAAAGGGTATATTGTATTCGTGCAAAAGTATGTAACACCTGTCTGTCCGTCTGTATGAACGCTGAGATCTTCGAAACTACAAAAGCTAAAAAGTTGGGATTACCCACTCATATTCCTTGGTTTCCTACGTAGCACAAGTTTGTTTCAGCCGAGCGCCACGCCCTCTAACGCCCACAATCGCCCACAAACGATTTTAAAAAGTGTCTGACGGCCATATCTTTTAAGATTTTAAAAATGTTTAAATGCCATTCTATAGTGTTTATAAATACCTATCGCAATGTAGAAGACATTATTCAAATCGGACCATTCGTTAAAAAGTTATGCGCAATTAAAATTTTATATATCCATATCCCTTGCACTCCCTTTAGCTGAGTAACGGGTATTAGATAGTCGGGACACCCACCCGACTATAGCGTTCTCTCTTGTTATTTTAGATTTTAACCCACCGCTTCTGCATCTCCTTCATCTGGCAGTCCTTGCGCTGGAACTCCGTGAGCAGCCTGGTGTAGTTCTCCTTCATCTTCTCAAACTGGTCGGCCTTGGTGTTGCGCTTGCCCCCGCAGATGACCAGCGGATCGGGATCCTCGGGACATGGGGGCCTGGCCGGGCAGGGCCTGGAGCAGGGATGATCCTCCTCCCCATCCTCGCTGTCATCGTCACCGCCGCCGCCGTCACAGGGCTCTGGACCATCGCGGTTGCTCACCTCCTGGAGCAACTTCTTCACCGAGCACTGCATGCTCTGGATGCGTCGCTTCAGCTTCTCCAGGGACTCGCACTTGCCGGGCGAGGATTGGGGCATGGGGCAGGGTGCCGACTTTTGGGGCCTTTTCTTGGTCGGACAGGGAGGCGAAGGATGTCCGCAGGGTGCCAGGCTGCTGCTGCTGCTCTCCGGACAGGGACCTTGGCAAGGACCTGGACAGGGTGGCGGGCAGGGCTTCGGGCAGGGTCCTGGCACGCAGACCGGCTGCTTCTTGCAGCTCATGATCGCACAGGCGATCTCCTCGATCATCTTCTTGTCCTCCGGACAGGCGCCCTTCATCTTCTGCATGGCCTTCTGCAGGGCGCAGATCAGCTTGTCGTCCTGACCGGCCACATCCCGCTGACCTCCGCCTCTGCCACCTCCACAAACACTGGCACAGGAGCTGGACTCATCGGCGCAGGGATCCGTACCACTGCCAGCCGGGGCACAAGGTCCAATGCCGCACATATACGGCGACAGGTTGTCCTCGTCCACGGTCGTCGTCATCGGCAGCTCCTTGTAGTGGCGATGGGAGCCAAAGTTCTGCAGCTGCACCGCCCTGTTCATCATGGTGTGCAGCTTGATGTTCTCCTGCTCCATGCAGATCCTCAGGCGCTTGATCTCCCGCAGCTCGTTGCGCGTCTTGCAGGGCTTGGCGCACATGTCCATGATGTTGCTCTTGATGTCCTGGATGATCTTGTTCTGGCAATCGATCTCCTTGATCAGCGCCAGGTACTCCATGTACATGCGCTTCTGCTCCGGATCGTCGGAGGATTCGCCCAGCTTGGAGAAGAGGTCCTCGTCGGGACCCTCCTCCATCATATGCTGCTCGCCGATGAACTGGGCCTCATCGTCCTCGTACTCGCCGCCCTCATCCGTGTACTCCGTGTTCTCCGCCATCGCGTCTCGGGTTTACTAACCAATTCGGCCCAAAAAAGCTAACTTTTATCGCGTCGGGAATTTTAAAAATTTTTTTTTGATTTTTATCCGTTTTGGACTACTAACGATTTTGGTCAACTTCTAGTCTGGCGAGAAAATTTAACACATATTCTGAAGGAAAAAATTTCGAAAGAAGTTTTAGAACGAATCAGTTGTTTTCTTCGTTGACGAATAAAATGAACTGAAAAACCCTCGGACGCTCTGCCTGGGCAGTTGGCAACGGATTTGGAATGGCCTACTCGGACTTCGGAGAAAGGAACGAAAGATCCCAGAGCACTTGGTTAGGCTACGACCAGGTGGAGTGGTGCTTCTCGGGGAACCCTAGCTACGGGAAGGTCCAAGAAAATGTGCTGTACAAAGAGCAATGTGTATCCAGGCATTTGTTCGGCGAAACCAACAACTATATTTACTACTGCCGCTATTTGAATTGGGTCAAAATTAAAACTCAGTCTAATTTAAAGGCGATGGAATTTTTTAATACATAATTAAAAGTATCATAAATACAAATTTTATATAACAAATTAAGGAAACTTTAATTAAATTTTTTGTAGCTTAGGTGGCTTTTTTATAACATCAATAAGGGTTATAGATTTTAATAATAGAATATTTTTTCTTACGGCTTAAAATGTCCTTGAAAATAAGTGTGTTTTTAAAATGATTGTAATATTTTAAAGAACTAAGCTTAGGGTAACATCTTAAGGTCATAACTTTCCTCCAGTAGCGATTTCAGCAGTAAGATGCCATATGAGTAGGCGTAACAGCATATTTTCCATCACATAATTTTCGTAACGTCTCACGTAAAAATTATTATTTTTTTGGGAAACGAATGTGTCATAACGTTTTAAAAAAAATTCTCTGTTGGCCAAAAACAGTGCAAAAAATTACTCAAGTGGATATAAAACCAAATAGGCAAAATTTTCGTAGATGTTAAGGCCATCAAAGGGGTCGCTAGCCACAAGACAACGCACACTTGGATTCCGTCCGCAAAATCGAGAAAGAATACCATCCACATCGATGGGATTGGATTTTGTATTGGATGAGAAGAGGGAAGATATGCCCGATGAGAAGAGCAGCTATGTCAGCTTGTCCCGACAGAACTCCAATATCCAGGATTCGATGAGTGCCAGCAGTTTGGGCTTCAGAGATCATAGTAGTTCTGGTGTAAGACCCAAGAATAGCAAGGAAATCAAGGAAGTTGATCTAATCATGAGTGATGGCGAACCAGAACCAGAAGATTATCGGGAAAATGGGGACTCGGAGCGGAGGTTACCCAACTCAGAAGCTATTGGAAGCAAGCTGAAGGAGGAACTCTGCAAATACAAGCAGGAACTCAAGGAGTACAATGAAACCACCAAGGATCTGGAGGAAAAGTATATGAAAATCAATTACGAGCTGTCCGAAATGCAACAGAAACACCATGACTTTGTATCCAGCCGGAGGCAAACTTCGGAAATGAATATGGGAAGTGAAGCGGATCCGCATAGTTTCTATAGCTCGGCCAGCAGTGTGGCTTCACAAATGACCATCCGACGAAAGAGTCCCCAAATCCTGCGGAGCAATACCAGTTTCATGACCGTTCTATCCGCCCAGAGTTCCTGTGATCAAATCGGCCGAAAGAAGTACTCATCCGAAAGGAGTGATCATCGGCCGAAGCATCGGGGAAACAAAGGCAGTCTCTCATCCCAGGTAGACAGTGTTTTCAATAGCCGAATTGTGGAAACACTGGCCAATCGTCATGTGAAACGTAGGAAAAGCTCTTTGGAGCAAGAGGATCGGGAGAGGGAGCCCGCATCTTTCAAGGACGTGTATCATGTGCTGAAGGATGTGATCAACACCTCACAGGTAGGATTTGTTTAGGGTAAAATCATTCATAAAGGTGTCCAAAAGTATGCTAGTTTTTAATTTTTTACTGCATACTTTTAGACACCTTTAAAAGTGATTTAAAAACTTTTGTGATTTCTGTGGCATAAATTATGAAATATATGTAAATATTTAACTATTTCATTTTTATTTTTATTAAATAGGACCACAAGTACAAGCACGAACGGGATCGGGATAGAGACAGGGACTCGGGAGACCTCAGCCAACTGCTGACCACCATTAAGAGCCTGAAGAGCGAGCAGCTCCAGTTCCAGACTCTCATTCGCCAGCAACAGGAGCGGATTGCCGACTACCATACGCGGTGTCTCAAGGCCCATGACATTATGAGCACCCAAAAGCACGAGATTGAAAAGCTGCACGTGAATAACAAGCAGCTGGAGTCGAGCATCTATCACGACATCGACAGTCTGCGATCCAAGATAGACACCAAACTAAAGAGTGTGTCCCATTTGCCCAAGATGATGCGGGACGAGCACACCAAGTACGAGAAGGTAATGCGGGAAAATTGTCTGCTGGCGGATAAACTACATGCCCTCCAACAGGAAGCCATGAAACTGAAGGTCAAGATCGATGATCTGGGCCGAAGAAAGCTCGTCACCATCAATAGGCTAAAGGCCGCCGAAAGGGATCTGAAGATATTCAAGAACTACAACTCGGCGTTGAAGACGGAGAAGCGGAAATTAACGCAGGAGCTGTCCACAATGAAGGATCAACTGGAGCAGCTCCAGGCGAGTAGTAAGCGGCAACTTTCCCGCCATCGCGAGCAGAGTGAAAAGCAGCGCAGAGATCTGCAGAAAAAGATCTATGATCTTGAGCTGAAACTGAGCAGGAGCCAGAACTCCACGTCCAGTTTGATCCAGGAACGGGATAGCCTGATAGCCGAACTCCAGACGCAGCTGCACACCTTGGTCCACAATTTCGAAGTGTCGCAGAAACATATAAGGGTTCTCCGGCGGCACATCTACTCCATGACGAATCCTGGTGGTGCGGGCATCGGATGTGGTGGCGGTGGATCGGCTGGCATTGCCCACCTGCCTGGAGGTGGTTCCCATCGACCTAGTCTGATAAGGATAAATCAGCAGGCTTCTAGCACCGGACGGCTCGGTAGCCCGCGAACGCTGAAGGCCAAAATCTAGAAGCTCTAGAACTAGATCGGGTCCTTCAGCTGTCCAGGCAACTTGATGATATGGTTTAAGTGCTGACAACCGTATTATCAAGTTGCCTGGATATTCTCCCCCGTTATCGAGACACCAATACTTTCACTCAAAGGATGTAAACTTGACAATTTTAAAAAATCCTTTCGTTTGGTTTCAATGGGTTGCGGGAATTTCCGTTCCATGTGCCATGTTCCATGTGCCATGTTCCATGTGCCATGTTCCATGTTCCATGTGCCATGTTCCATGTTCCATGTTCCATGTGCCATGTTCCATGTTCCATGTTCCATGTTCCTTGTGCCATGTTCCATGTTCCATGTTCCATGTTCCATGTTCCATGTTCCATGTTCCACGTTCCATGTTCCACGTTCCATGTTCCATGTTCCATGTGCCATGTTCCATGTTCCATGTTCCATGTTCCATGTTTCATGTTCCATGTTCCATGTTCCATGTTCCATGTTCCATGTTCCATGTTCCATGTGCCATGTTCCATGTGCCATGTTCCATGTTCCATGTTCCATGTGCCATGTTCCATGTTCCATGTGCCATGTTCCATGTTCCATGTGCCATGTTCCATGTGCCATGTTCCATGTGCCATGTTCCATGTGCCATGTTCCATGTGCCATGTGCCATGTTCCATGTGCCATGTGCCATGTTCCATGTTCCATGTTCCATGTTCCATGTTCCATGTTCCATGTTCCATGTTCCATGTTCCATGTTCCATGTTCCATGTTCCATGTTCCATGTTCCATGTTCCATGTTCCATGTTCCATGTTCCATGTTCCATGTTCCATGTTCCATGTTCCATGTTCCATGTTCCATGTTCCATGTGCCATGTTCCATGTTCCATGTTCCATGTTCCATGTTCCATGTTCCATGTTCCATGTTCCATGTTCCATGTTCCATGTTCCATGTTCCATGTTCCATGTTCCATGTTCCATGTTCCATGTTCCATGTGCCATGTTCCATGTTCCATGTACCATGTGCCATGTTCCATGTTCCATGTGCCATGTGCCATGTTCCATGTGCCATGTGCCATGTTCCATGTGCCATGTGCCATGTGCCATGTGCCATGTTCCATGTGCCATGTTCCATGTTCCATGTTCCATGTTCCATGTTCCATGTTCCATGTGCCATGTTCCATGTTCCATGTTCCATGTTCCATGTTCCATGTTCCATGTTCCATGTTCCATGTTCCATGTTCCATGTTCCATGTTCCATGTTCCATGTTCCATGTTCCATGTTCCATGTTCCATGTTCCATGTTCCATGTTCCATGTTCCATGTTCCATGTGCCATGTTCCATGTGCCATGTTCCATGTTCCATGTTCCATGTGCCATGTTCCATGTTCCATGTGCCATGTTCCATGTTCCATGTGCCATGTTCCATGTGCCATGTTCCATGTGCCATGTTCCATGTGCCATGTGCCATGTTCCATGTGCCATGTTCCATGTTCCATGTTCCATGTTCCATGTTCCATGTTCCATGTTCCATGTTCCATGTTCCATGTTCCATGTTCCATGTTCCATGTTCCATGTTCCATGTGCCATGTTCCATGTTCCATGTTCCATGTTCCATGTTCCATGTTCCATGTTCCATGTTCCATGTTCCATGTTCCATGTTCCATGTTCCATGTTCCATGTTCCATGTTCCATGTTCCATGTTCCATGTTCCATGTGCCATGTGCCATGTTCCATGTGCCATGTTCCATGTTCCATGTTCCATGTTCCATGTTCCATGTGCCATGTTCCATGTTCCATGTTCCATGTTCCATGTTCCATGTTCCATGTTCCATGTTCCATGTTCCATGTTCCATGTTCCATGTTCCATGTTCCATGTTCCATGTGCCATGTTCCATGTTCCATGTACCATGTGCCATGTTCCATGTTCCATGTGCCATGTGCCATGTTCCATGTTCCATGTTCCATGTTCCATGTTCCATGTTCCATGTTCCATGTTCCATGTTCCATGTTCCATGTTCCATGTTCCATGTTCCATGTTCCATGTTCCATGTTCCATGTTCCATGTTCCATGTTCCATGTTCCATGTTCCATGTTCCATGTTCCATGTTCCATGTTCCATGTTCCATGTTCCATGTTCCATGTTCCATGTTTCATGTTCCATGTGCCATGTTCCATGTTCCATGTACCATGTGCCATGTTCCATGTTCCATGTGCCATGTGCCATGTTCCATGTGCCATGTTCCATGTGCCATGTTCCATGTTCCATGTTCCATGTTCCATGTTCCATGTTCCATGTTCCATGTTCCATGTTCCATGTTCCATGTTCCATGTTCCATGTTCCATGTTCCATGTTCCATGTTCCATGTTCCATGTTCCATGTTCCATGTTCCATGTTCCATGTACCATGTGCCATGTTCCATGTTCCATGTGCCATGTGCCATGTTCCATGTGCCATGTTCCATGTGCCATGTTCCATGTTCCATGTTCCATGTTCCATGTTCCATGTTCCATGTTCCATGTTCCATGTTCCATGTTCCATGTTCCATGTTTCATGTTCCATGTGCCATGTTCCATGTTCCATGTACCATGTGCCATGTTCCATGTTCCATGTGCCATGTGCCATGTTCCATGTGCCATGTTCCATGTGCCATGTTCCATGTGCCATGTTCCATGTGCCATGTTCCATGTGCCATGTTCCATGTGCCATGTTCCATGTTCCATGTTCCATGTTCCATGTGCCATGTTCCATGTTCCATGTTCCATGTTCCACGTTCCATGTTCCACGTTCCATGTTCCATGTTCCATGTGCCATGTTCCATGTTCCATGTTCCATGTTCCATGTTCCATGTGCCATGTTCCATGTTCCATGTGCCATGTTCCATGTGCCATGTTCCATGTGCCATGTTCCATGTGCCATGTTCCATGTTCCATGTTCCATGTTCCATGTTCCATGTGCCATGTTCCATGTTCCATGTTCCATGTTCCATGTTCCATGTTCCATGTTCCATGTTCCATGTTCCATGTTCCATGTTCCATGTTCCATGTTCCATGTTTCATGTTCCATGTGCCATGTTCCATGTTCCATGTACCATGTGCCATGTTCCATGTTCCATGTGCCATGTGCCATGTTCCATGTTCCATGTTCCATGTTCCATGTTCCATGTTCCATGTTCCATGCCATGTTCCATGTTCCATGTGCCATGTTCCATGTGCCATGTTCCATGTGCCATGTTCCATGTTCCATGTGCCATGTGCCATGTTCCATGTGCCATGTTCCATGTTCCATGTTCCATGTTCCATGTTCCATGTTCCATGTTCCATGTTCCATGTTCCATGTTCCATGTTCCATGTTCCATGTTCCATGTGCCATGTTCCATGTTCCATGTTCCATGTGCCATGTTCCATGTGCCATGTTCCATGTTCCATGTTCCATGTTCCATGTTCCATGTTCCATGTTCCATGTTCCATGTTCCATGTTCCATGTTCCATGTTCCATGTTCCATGTTCCATGTTCCATGTTCCATGTTCCATGTTCCATGTGCCATGTTCCATGTTCCATGTGCCATGTTCCATGTTCCATGTGCCATGTTCCATGTTCCATGTGCCATGTTCCATGTTCCATGTGCCATGTTCCATGTGCCATGTTCCATGTGCCATGTTCCATGTGCCATGTTCCATGTGCCATGTGCCATGTTCCATGTGCCATGTTCCATGTTCCATGTTCCATGTTCCATGTTCCATGTTCCATGTTCCATGTTCCATGTTCCATGTTCCATGTTCCATGTTCCATGTTCCATGTTCCATGTGCCATGTTCCATGTTCCATGTACCATGTTCCATGTTCCATGTTCCATGTTCCATGTTCCATGTGCCATGTTCCATGTTCCATGTTCCATGTTCCATGTTCCATGTTCCATGTTCCATGTGGCCATCAGTTCAGCATATATTTCTTATCAGCATCAAGAGTTTCTGGTTAAGTTAAGGGTCAATTTTAAGGAAATCAATCAAAAATTTTAAGATGCCTAATCTAATAAGTTCTAATTTCTTATTTCTTTGTTTCGTCATTTCCAAATGATGATTCTACATTTGTTTGTTACTTGAATTCATTATTATCATTTATTTTCTTACTCACTGGCACAAAAAGGTTTTTTGCCACGAATTCTTCCACGATCACAGGTGTAAACCTTTGTCCCTTGTAGAAAATAACCAGGATTGCATTGAAAATGAATCGATCCATTAACCTTTTCACTAAAACCATTTTCCAACTGAAAGGATTCTTGGTGAGTCTAGATGAGATGGGTTTTATATATTTCTTATCAGCACTAACATAACATTGTTTTTGCTTTTATTATTTTTTATCTTGATCAAATGTCATTGCGTAAAGATATTATTAATTTGCCAAATGTGAGTCAGATATTCTTTTAGGGTATTCATATGCGTGATTGTTTCTAGCAGCATTGTTGAAACGTTTTTAAGCGATGATGTATTACTATTTTAAAGAATAAAAACAAAATATTTTGTGTTTTTGGGTTTATTTGTACGCAACATTTTTATGGAATTAACGATAAAAGATTTAAAGTTGTAAGATTTAAAAAGGGTTAGCTTTAAAAATTATTGCTCTCAGAAATTTGGTTTTCATAAGAATTTAAATTTTTTAATAATTCTTTCACTTAAAATATTTCAATTTTACATAATATATAACGGCTACGCCAACTACAGTCAATGCTATAATCAAAATAGATATAGGGATCCAAAATCCAACTCCATTTGTTACTTGTGTCGATTTTGGTTGCTTGGTTGGTGTGCTGGTTGTCGGTAGTTTCTCAGTGGTGGGCTTTGGAGATACCGTACTGTTGGACCTTGGTTGTTGCTCAGTGCTGGGTTTAGGAGATACCGTACCGTTCGTCCTTGGAGGTTGGGTACTGTTCGATTTTGGTGGTGGCGTACTGTTCAACTTTGGTTGTTGTGTTGCTGGTGCCGTACCGTTTGGTGTTGATTGTGGCCTTTCAGTGGGTACTGGTAAGGTACTGCTGGTTGACTTTGGCGGTTGCTCACTACTGGCTTTCCTTGGTTCTGAACTAATGGTGTTTGGTGGCTCCGGACTGCTGGCAATCAATGGACCCTTGGGGATGTTGGCACGCGGAGGACAACTATCATTCCACAGAAACTCTACATCGTCGATGGCGATATCTCCGAAAGCGCCCTTCGAACTTTTTCCCGTGAATACCACTTTGAAGTCCTCATACTGAGTGGGGATAGGGATCTTAAGAGTTAACCACCCGTAAGGTTGGGAACCAGTTATTTTTGTTCTGAAGCAGAAAGAGAAACATCATTAAAAAAGAAACAGAAAACTTTGTTTAAATAAATTAAATTATTTTAGATAATTTTTGTTGTACCTACATTTAAAAAAAATCAATAACCTGATATAATTTTAATTTTAACTTACAGTTCCTCAATCTCATTTATCAGTTTTGAAGCGGGAAGAACGGATATCTGCAGTGAATCAACTCCTTTACCGTAAAGGAAGTATTTGAACTTAAAGCAGGCGTTGTGCTGAGTATATTGCCAGGAATATTTCGGCGATAAGAAGTGGTAGCTGTCCAAGGTCTTGACTCCCCTCGTCGACATCCGCATGTAGTATCCTTGGGGCTCGGCATCAATGGCTTCTGGTCCCATTCCGGTGTAATGAAAGTGGGTGGCAGAACTGACTCGTTCCCACTGTTGAGAAGTGTATTCCATCCAGCCGCATTGATCCTCGGTCTCGAAATTGCAGAAGTAACTCTTTCGGGTTTTATTCACACAAATTCCTAGATCGGTGTTCCAATTTATACCATCGCAATAGACAACGGTTGGTCCAGACGCCACTTCTCCATGCTGGCAGTAGTTTACGTTCCTATCTGAAATCGATCCGTTCTCTAGTTTGCAACCGCTTTCTAAAATTAGGAAAAATAATATGGGATATTTATTGTTGTTGCTTAATATAAATTTCAATTCAAATTGTTGCTTTTATTTTTTATAATCATTAAATTACTTGTCAGCTTGGCTTGCTAATATTTTTATATCTATATTACCTATATTAATATTAAATATTAGTTTATTAAGTTAAATCAGTATTAATTGGTAACAATAGCTGCACTTACTGGCACAAAAAGGCTTTGATTTTCGAATAAGACCATCTTCATCACAGTAAAGCAATTCACTTCCTTGCAGTTCATAACCGGGGTTGCATTCAAATTGCACCGAAACACTATTTGGATATGTGACTTTTCCGTTGGCTAAATCTATGGATCTTAGACAAAGTCCATTTGTTTGGTCTATACTAAATATCAGAAGTATTGTGAGAGCCCAGGACCAGGACCAAAATGCCATATCTGCAAGTACCGCCATTCTAGTTGTATATTCCTCGAAAGTGGAAGAAAGACTGTTTGATCCGTGGTTCAGCGATCAAACTCAATAACTCCGACAAGCGGAAATTTATAAATTTGGGTAAAGAAATATCGGCTGAGCCGATAAAACTCTGTGAAACTATTTTTAAGAACTTGAAATATTCCAATGGAAGATTAGTTCAGCATACATTTCTTATCAGCATCAAGAGTTTTGGGTTGCGAGTGCTTTTTCAAATACGTACAGGATATTGAAAAGTCGATTTTGTACTTATCCGAATATATTGAGTCATTCCAGTCATTCACGTCACTCTCCCGTAATCAGTATAATTGGGGTCTCTAGAGTTTTACTTTAGCTGAAAACCATATTTGATTAAAATTCAACAAAGTTAAGATGCCTAATCTCATAGGTTTCAAAATAAACATATATTTTCTTGTTTATATTAGAAGAGTTTAATACTCAACATGTGCTTATGCGAGTTCCGAGAGATGTCGACATCTGGAAACTATAAGATTGGATTTGGAAAAGCAGCTTCTTTGATATCAGTATCAAACGCCTAATTTTTTATCGTACGCAAATGAATGAGGCTCTGTGAGGCTTTAAAAAGTAATTCTAGTTTTCTTGTTTGCAAAGGATGGAAAATACAGTAAAAATCCTAACTTCCCTCCTGATTACAAATCCTATTTCTCGCATTTTTATTAAACTTTTCACTAATTTGGCATTTGTGATCTCATTGGAAACCTAAGTACGCAGCCAACAATTGCTGATCAAAATGTGCAATGTAAACAATACTATTCCAAAGAAATCCACTTTGCGTTATTCTACAGCTTATTCACATTGTATATAGCATCGGTCGGGGGTTGTATATATATGCATTAATATGTAAACAATTTCCACAGCCACTTTGGAGCGTGATTCTGTGCGAAAAGTGTTTGGAATCGGGTGGTTTTCGTGGGCGCCAGTGGAATCAAAGGGGCAGGGAATTGGGGCCGATGACAGCTGAAATAAAAGAAAGAAGTGTGCACTGCGAAGAAAATAGGAAGCATTCTTCTGCGAGGGAAGAGAGAGAGCAAAGAGCGAACGTCAGCCGGTCTAAATATAAAACAACGATTCTCTCAGAAATAATTTTTAATATTAAAACCACTAGAAATTTGAAAAGTTGTCGACTAGAAGATACCTTCTATAACTTTAAAGTTTACATTATAATTCAATTCAATTTTGTTGAATCAAAAAGGCTAATCTTAAGTAAATCAAAAGTAAATAAACTTATTTATAAGAAATATGATCTCAATCATATTATGAATTAGGGATACATATTTTTTATAAGAACACATTTAAAATCAAATTCAATTCTTGAATTTCAGATCGAACTTCTTTCATATGGATTTCTGGTCCATAGAAATTTGGTCCTATGAGACTGCGTGATTATCAGCTTTGGCAATCTGTTTCTTATGCATTCCGATGTGGTGAGGAAATCCGCAGCATTTCAAATCTGATTTTCATCCTATGGACTTCCGGTCCATAATAATTGTTTTTTAAAATATGACAGATTATCAGCTTTAAGAATATTTTCAATATGCATAAGACAGGCCTCAATTCAACAGTTTCATTGCTTTCTTACCTCCGCCTTTAAATAATTGAATACATTTTATTTAGCCCTAAAATGAGATAAATACAGCATACCTGTTCATTTAAGAACAGTGGGTAGCATATTATCGGAGATGGCCAGCGGGGAGCATATTGAAATGAAGCCAAAGGTGCGCCGATGTTTTCTGCTTTTCAGTTTGGCTTTTCCAATGTGAGGGTCGCTCGGCGATTTGTTCTCGCCTCAGTTTGATTTTCGCTTACGACGCGGCCGAACACGGATGAGTTGTGGATAGTTGGGCGGATTCGCAGTGACACGCTCCGATGGGCAGTTCGCAGTTTTCCGAGATGATGACGCAGTGCGTCTTCCTCGTTGTCGTATCGCTGATTTTGTCACACGTGCGGGCAGCTGGCGATGAGGCGATTTCTTCCGCCTACGAATCCGAATCGCTACCTTCTGCTTGCGTCATTCGGGCCACGCTCTATATAACATCTTCATCGAAAAGGAGTAGTGAGGATTTTGGACTGCCTTTGGATATAGATTGCAGTGGAAACAATACCCTGGAATTGAGTTCCTTCGATATGGGCGCCCAACGAGTGGCCGGAAAGAGGCATGTTCTCCTCGATGGCTCACAAACCCCTCCCTTGGGCATCTCTAGTTATGGCCTAGAGTATCTGGATAATTGTGTGGATCTCGAGAGTCTGGAGATCCAACGATTTGTGGGTGATTCCACCCTAAAATTAAGTTGTGGTGGAGCTTTAATTCCCAATCTGACAACAGTATTCCTAGAAAACAATGAATTGGGCTCGTTAAGTGAAGATACCTTTCAGGACTTGCCACATCTGAAGATACTCAAACTGCAGAAGAACTCTTTAAGATACCTGGAACACCTCAAGGGCTGCACTGAACTGGAAGAGCTACTCATGCAAGACGAAAACGATCTGGTCCTAAAATATAACGACTTCATTCTGCAAATGCCAGAGTTGAGAAAACTAAGCTTGAAAAATATTAAAAAACTAGAGTCCTCATTCTTAAATGTCTTACCAGAAAATTTGACGGATCTAATAGTCGAAGATACGCCCATCCAACCGGGAGATTTATTTCTGAATAAAGGTATAGCCAAACTGGTTAATGTCACCCTCACAAATTGCCAGCTGCGAAACTTTGCTCTGAATCCTCCGCACAATCTGGACATTATTTATCTGAACCTAAGTGGCAATGCTTTGGTGTCTTTGAATATAAGTTTTCTTGACGGACCAAGTACCCTTGAGATCTTGGATCTAAGCAGAAACAAGTTGGAGCACTTGAACATCACGTGGTTCTACAGGACCACCAGTCTGCGGACTCTTCACCTGCAGGAGAACCACTTCCATTCGCTTTCGCTCTTCCATTTGGGCATGGTTTCCCCAGGCACAATTCATCTCATTGATTTGAGATCCAATGAACTGATGAGCTTCAGGGATACAAATAGGGCAAATGATCCCTACTGGAATCCATACCTACGAATTGCAATCGATGGTAATCCCTGGAGCTGCCAGTGGCTGCAGAACTTCTATCACACAGAGCCGCAATTATTTCGGCTCTTCCAGTACTCCAAGTATATATCCCATATCAATGTCAACGGATTGAGCTGCAAGCCTCAAGAGCCGCCTACGGAAGAACCGCCCAAGGCGAGGAGAATTATGCATGTAAGGATCAACGGTTCGGATGAGGACACTCCGATTCCCGTGTCCCATCCCCCCGGTAATGTTTCCAGTTTTACTGTTCTCTACGGAAACCCGGTGGAACTGCACCGAAGTCAGCGATCTTTGGCGCTGATAATCGTATTTATGTTGCCCCTGGGAATCGCCTTTCTCTTCCTGTTGCTATATCTTTACCTTCATTGCGAACGACTCTTTCATCTTTCGTACTACGCCTCGGGATTGCCCTGTTTTGGTGGCGAAAAATCCTCCAGTGGTCCCAGATTCGTGGATCACGTGGATATAGTGCGCTATCCCATTGCAAATGGCAGTGGTTCTCCAGTGGATTTTGAAACGGATCTGCCCGATGGTTACGAGACTCCAGTGAGTGGAGGCGCCTCGATTTGCAATTGCACGGGTCACAGGGAATCCACCTGCTCGAGGACCCATCACGTCACCTACGAATCTCTGCCAGCTGAGCTGCCTTATCAACTTTACGCGGAGATCAAGGAGCAGGCGGATGAGACTGGAGACGCCGATGAGATCCTGGCAGGCACTCCAGTCCCCACGGCTCCCATCTACGATCATCTGTCGTTTGTTGAGGAGCTGCCGAAACTGGACGAACTGAGAGATATATCATAGATATTCTTTACACTACATTCGAACTTCTATATCAACAAAAAAGAAATTAATACATATATTGTGGGTGTTGCTAAATTGAATTGTTAAAAATGCAACAGGAAAATTTAACAACAGTTTTGGAAATGCCTTTAGTATATTTATATATGAACTTGTAAAAATTATCTTATCAACAGAAGTTTCGGCTCTAAAAACATTACTAATGTAAGATAAACAAGAGAGAACGTTATAGTCGGGTGCCCCGACTATCAGATACCCGTTACTCAGGTAAAGGGAGTGCGAGGGGGATGGAGATAGAGATAGAAAACTTTGATCACGCATAACTTTTTAACGAATGGTCCGATTTAAAAAATTTCTTCTACATTTCGATAGGTATTGATAACCACAATAAAACTGCATTTTTACTTTTCCAAAATATTAAAATTTTTAAAATCGTATATAAGCGATTGTGGGCGTTAGAGGGGGCGTGGCACCATTTTGAAACAAACTTGCGCTGCGTAGGAACTCCTAGAATCTGCATGCAAAATGCCAATCTTCTAGCTTTTATAGTTTCCGAGATCTCAGCGTTCATACAGACAGACAGACGGACAGACGGACAGACGGACAGACAGACGGACAGACGGACATGGCTAGATCGACTCGGCTAATGATCCTGATCAAGAATATATATACTTTATGGGGTCGGAAACGCTTCCTTCTCCCTGTTACATACTTTTGCACGAATACAATATACCCTTTTACTCTACGAGTAACGGGTATAAAAACGTTGACGAATCAGACAAATGCTGTTGATTGGGTACATATTTCACTTATGTGTAAGAAAAGCTGTCGTGTGCATTGATCGTTTTTAGTTTGTTCTACGGAGCTGTCGTAAAAGGTTTAAAAAAAGCTGTAAAAATCCAAATTCTGAATGAAGCTAATTTCGTAAATTTTAAGTTCGCTCACCGGCAGTAAATTTATAGTAAGTGTCATACGGGCATTGGAAATGTGACGAGAATGCCCTATGACACTCCCTGTAAAGTTGCTCGCTGATTACGTCTAATAGATTATAAATAAGGGCCACTACATGCTTCAACCTTATTTATAAATCATTGTTTTGTTTTGTATTTATAAGTATATTTAGTGAAAAGTTTAATAACTTAATAACCCGAAATGCATAGAAATAAAAAACATTTTATTGCTATTAGGCATTGTATTCTGATTTTGTTTGGCTTAGTCTAAATTCAAATTAAGGTTTATATTAGAAAACTGAAGAAATCATTTCATTTGTGGCTTTCGGGAACTAACAACAATGCGACGTATGATATTTGGTCGCTTTATTGTGGGTTTAACGTCGTTGGATTCCCCAGTTTTCGTAGGCATTTCATTTTCCTTGGTGACCTCCTCACTTTGACTTTTTTCAAGAGGACTCAAATTGTGGATAATAGGATCATTTGCACTAAATTTCACCGCCTTTTGCAAATCTTCAGCGAAGACATCACGTTTTTGGGTGAGGATAGAGCGCACATTGTTGTTAGTTGTGTCTTTGATGACTGGAATTCTCACAGGAGTTCCTTTGCGATGTGGTTTTTGTGGAGCGGGACTGTCCAGTATTTCCACGCCCTCGATTTCTTCTCCCTTCAAGGGAGTTTCTTTGAAGGATTCTTCGCCTTCAGATTCAGTTTCCACCTTTATGAGCTTTACAGGAGTTCCCTTGCGCTGCGGCTTAGCCGGTGTGTTCAGTAAGTCATCGTTGGACTTTACTTTGATGCCTCCAAATCGTTGCTTAACTGGAGTACCCTTCATTAAAGGTTTAGCTGGGGTTGTGCTCTTTTTCTGGTCGTCTTCTTCCATTTCATTTTGGTTCATATCCGTTTGAGGGGTTGCTTCCGGCGCTTCCTTTTTGATATTAGCTTCCGCTTGTTGCTCGAAGTTTAAGTTGACTTCCCTTTTTATTTTAACACCCATAATTGTCTTAATTGGAGTGTGGTTTTGGATAGGTTTGATTCCGGGTTCTTCCGCTTCCTGTTTGACTTTAACAGGAGCTTCTTTTAGCTCGACTAACTCTTCTTTAACGGCTGGTTTTATGGGTGTATCGAGAACTATAGTTTCAGTAGGAGGTGGAACAGATATAGAAGAGGTTTTAGCTGTGGATAATTGAGCTGATGAAGACGGCGATGACGTGGCTACACTGACAATGCGAGGCAGCGCAGCTTTGAGCTCCGCCTCTTTGATGTTGAACTCCATGGCCTGCATGGGTTTGAAGCCGATCTTGTGCTCCGTCAACAGATTTTCGCGGTCAATTAGCACACAGCGAGATTTCAGCGACTCAAAGCGCCAGCTATTAATAGGAATACATAACAGAAATTAGTTTTGGAAGAGGATACACCTTAAGATCTCCCTACCGTGCCATTTCCTGCTGCACGGACCGCATTCGCTCCTCCAGTCCAGCCTTCTGGATGCGCATGCTGTGCAGCTGCGCCTTCAGCTCGTCCGTTTCGCGTCTAAATGGGGATGAGGATTAGGCATTAGGGGTCTGGAGGCTACCTAACTGGTCAGCAAGAACAGGCCGAAGCTGGTGAGGCTCAGCAAATGATTGCCGAGCGAGGCCAGCGCGGTATCGACCAGTAGGGGCAACTCATACTTGCAGAAATCCAGCATTGAGTCCAGCCAGGTGACCGACTTTTCGCTGGCCAACTGGCGCAGCCGCTCCTGGGAGGTATTCAGCTGCTTTTCCAGACTATCGTTGGCAGCCATCAGCTGGCGGATGCGCTCGTTCAGCTTATCTGTGGGGGGAAAATATATAGAAAGTGTTGTAAAAGGTATAACAATTAAATGGTTGCATTTTGGACTTATTCTAAAGCTTCTAATGAACACCCACTTTGATAAGTCTTATCCGCACTGCAGAAAATTGTGCTGCAGGCTTGCAGCTCTGTGTGCATGGCCACGTTCTCCCGCTTGAGGCGTCTGATCTCGAACTGGCTGTCCGAGAAGGTCTTCTTCATGTCCAGATAGCTCTTCTTCTGGGCCGCCAGCAGGTGCTTCATGGCCTGCCTTTGATCGTCCACCTCGGCGAACAGGGAGTTGCCCTTGCGATCTTTAAAATTATCTAGTTAAATTCTAGTTTTTAAGGAAGTGCTTCCCCCATAACTACCATTGTTTTCGGGGGCGGAGGTTAGCAGCGCTATCTTCGCATTGGCATCCACCAGCTGCTCCTGGCAGCTCTCCAGCAGCTGCAGCTTCTCCTCCAGCTCGTCCCGCTTGCAGTTGAGGTTCTGCTCCAGGCAGCTCACCCGATCTTGCAGACACTCGATGGTTTTCTGGGAATTTAGGGGGTTATATTTGTGGTTTTCGGTATTCAGATGGTTAGTACCTCTCTTTCGGCCACCGCAAAGGTGCTGGCCACCCGGGAATCCTCGTATTCGGATAGTTTTTGCATCAGTTCGCAGTTCTCGAGTTCCAGGGCATTCAGGCGGGCCAAACAATCCTCGTGGAGATCCGTTGACCTGGTGGATGATCTATCCGCCAGTTGCCTTTCCGTGGCAGCCAGTTTGTCCCTTAACTTCGCAGTTTCCTCCACTTTGGCGTCGTAGTCCTGCTGCCAAGTGTCCTGCTCCTCTTTCAGCGCCTTGTACTTGCGACGCAGTTCCTCCAGCTCCTGGGAATCCCCTCCAGAGCTGCTGGCCACCGGCTGGCTGCTGAGCTGCTCCAGTTCCTGGGTTAAATACGATTCGGCCGCCAGGGCGGTGTCCAAACTCCTTTTCAGCTCGTAGATCCTCTGGGCATCCTGGTCGCTCTGATTCTTCAGCTGCTGGTGGCGATCGTGCAGCAGCTTGTACTCCTCCACGATGTCGTCCACGCTCAGTGCGTTCAGGTCCAGATTTTTGAACATATTTCGGGCTTTGTTTTCTCTCAGATTTTTAACTCGATCGTTTTCAAAAATAAATTGTTTTTTTCAAAAAAATGACGCCAACAGTGTGACCTTGGAGTAAGCGATACCAAAAAGTATAAAATATACCAAAAACGGTCAAATATCGATAGTGTAATCGATGTGTAAGTTGGCAATCGAATCGAAATAACAGCGATAACATTGCCATGAGTGCTGTTAGGCGCAGATTAACAGAGGTGTTGAGCGCCACCTGCCGGAATACCTGTGCATTTTAAAAAAGTCCATTGTTATTAAAAAAATCGCAAATGAAATGTATTTAAAGAAAAATATGATTTATCAAGGTTTAGTTTACTCCTGAGAGAAGTATACTTCTTGTTTATTACAGCTAACAGCTTTAATAGAGTCTTGTCTCTTGTGAGCACATTCTAACAGAATTTAAAGTGTCGCCCTCTTTAGGAAAACAAATGCATATTTAAAAAAAAATTAATTATATTTCCAATTTAACTCGTTTTTAAAATTTTAAATAATTAGTTTAACCATACAAAAAATGTAAAACAATAAAATAAGTTATAATAAATAAAAAGTTAACATTTAAAACGCATGCGTCCGTCTTATGTTTATCCAAATTTCGTTGCCCAGGCAACTAATTTGTTTTTCCAACAGCTTGCTGATTTGGAAAAGAAGAACTATTTATCAAAATAAAATTTAGAAAATGCAGCAAGACGATGTCCAGGAGAAAGCCCAGCAGCTGCAAAACTTTCAATCAGATGACTTGTTGGAAAAACTAAAGTTGCTCAACTACGAGAAGCATTTGCTAAAGGAATTCAAGCTGAAGCCTTTGTCGCGTTTCTATTTCGTAAAGGCCACAAATCCCGGCGAGCAGTTCTATATGTTTACCTTAATATGCTGGTGGCTGTGCAAAAAACTGGGAAAGGATATGGAGCGACCACAGGAGTATGATGATCCCAACACGGTGGCTGCGAATATTATTAAAATGCTGGGAGAGATTGTGAGTACTGGAAGTTTTTAATTAAAAATATTTAACGAAATTTTCCCCTTTTTTTTAGGATGTCCCTGTGGATTTTCAACCCAATAAACTCATACGTGGAGCGGGACCCATTTGCCTGATGGTCCTGGATGTCCTATCCACGCAGGCCTGCAAAGTGGCCAAAGTGGGCTACCAAAAGCTGCATATCGCCCAGGAGGAGGAGTTCCTGGGCGATTATCTTGAGGACAATGCCGAGATCATATTGGAGAAACTGGAGGACGAGCAGAACGCAGCCGCCTTGAGTGATGACAGCGACATGGAGTTGGAGGCGCATAATTTCAGGCAACTTAACTGGTTAAATCGACCGCAGAAAAAGTCCATTGGGGATGTTAATCTCGATGAGCGGAACCAGGAATTGGATGCGAGGATGAGCGATCATCAGGAGTGGCGCCTGGAATTGGAAAGGGTTTTGCCGCATCTCAAAGTTTTCGTTAAGGCCGATGCTCGCGATTGGAGGACTCACATCAGTCAGATGGATGCTCACGTAGACATCATATCGGAAACATCCGAGATCGCCGAGGTTCAGCTAAAAAAACTCAACAGCGAGTTCACCTTCAGCTTGGAGAAAATCGAGAGTCGCGAAAAGCATTTGAATAATGAGCTCCAGCCCCTGATTCAGCAGTTCAAGGAACTTTCTATCGAGCTGTCCACCATTCAGTCTGCCCAAAATCAACTGCAGGCGGATACGGAGAAGCAAATGGTATTTGTTTCAGTATAATTTATTTTTTAATATTAACATATAATACAATTTTTATCAAATGTATTTGTAACCAGGCGGAGCTAAATGAGGTCATGATGGAGCAGGAGCTCAAAAAGGAGGAAATGGAGAGACGTGGACAGGTGATGTCCGATGGCAGTAAGTATTTGGGGATTACTTGAAAAGATTTGGAACTTTAAAAAAACTAAAGTGTAAAGAAAATATATGAAATCGTATACCTTTAAAATTCGTTATAATTTTTATATAAAATAATAAGAAGCAGTTTAAGAACATGTCTTTAATAAAGATCTTAAGATTTTGCAAATTTCAGATCTCAACCAAAGGCCAAAAATTAAATATATTAGTAATAATTTAATTTTTATACATTTGATTTTCTAATATAAATCGTAATTCTAATACCTTAACGTATTATCTTGAGTAAGGCAGTAGCTATATTTCCAAACTAATTTTTTTGATCATAAACCAAAGCATTTGGTTATTCCCATCCATGGCAAATAGCATAATCAGTTAGGACGAGGGCCATATACCTTCAAGAGCGACACCTTTCACACTCTATTTGCCCTGCAATGATAAGACGTCCTCTGTTTGCCATCTCTGATCCCTGATTCTGGTCAACAGAAAATCACAGATCCCTCGGAAACCACCCACAATGCTATACGGTGCTAATCCCAACTGAATTGCCTTTCCCTACTTATCAGGTTCGGTGCAGCAGATCAGGAAATCGATCGCCAAGTTGAAGGAGGACATTGCGCAACTGAATTTGGAGGTGGCCCTGCTGGTGCATGCCCACGATCAGGACATTGTGGTGCGGCAGTTGAGCCAGAACCAAACCACCGACCTGACAAACAACCCATAAAATTGAAAACCCAACTGATAAGGAACTGCTTAGCATACTATCGTGGTATTATATGGGGGTTTCGGTATATCCCTGCCAGCCCGATCTTTTCACACCTCGCGAATGGGTGTGCGGTTGCTCTCGTTTAAAATTGTTGTAAAAGAGATAACTGCACTGGAAAATAAAACACAGATAAGAATATAGTTTGTTATTAAAATTGGTTTATGTTTTCTTTTCGAGTAAGAGGATTTTTATGCTACACTTATTTCTGACTTTCATACTTTTTATAAATTCCAAGTATTTTAAAAATATTTGTTATATTTTTTTCTAAGCTCTGCATTTGTTTTATATTTTTTGACTTTATTTCGAATTAAGTACGATTTTTTTCCGAGTGCCTTTTGGGCCAGAGAGGGATGGCACTTGGACCACCGGCGTTGACCCCGCCCGCTTTGACGATCGTTTGATTCGATTGCCGGTGCCGCTGATAAGTTTCGTAATTGGTTGCCAAGCCAATTGGGCGGTCAATTATCACCTCTGTTATCTGCTCCTCGGCCAAAACACACACACACAACAGCACAACAACAAGCGCGTGCGATCTCTATATCCTATCCTTCGCCGATCGATTGTAGATAACGGTACGGGGGTCGCCTAAGTAGCTGCGGTACACTGCCGTCCGTGGCGCACGTACTTGACAAAAGATGCCGCCGACGACGCCGCAACTACCACACAACTACCTCTTAAGTAGATGTGCACTGAGAGAAAAACTATATTGGTAAACATATTTTTCGAAATTAAAAAAGCCTTCCAGAGTATTGAAATTACTTTTTCTAATTTATATTTTATTTTATAAATATGTTAATAAACCTACAATTAAATATTTTTCGTCATTTATTTTCTAAATAATTTATCTTTTTTTTAAGGAACGGAATTTGGAAATAAATCAGACACATAATAAATTATAATAATTATTAAAAAGTTTAAAAAAATTTTAAAGAAATTAAAGAATATGTTTTTGAAATTTTTGACAAATTTGCTTTTGATTTATTCCGAATTTGTAATATCTGAAATAAATTGAAATATATTTTTCCCAGTGTAACCACAACCATAGCCTAAGCAAATGAATTATAACCTGGGAAACCCTCGAAATGCAGTAAAGAGGTGTTTTCCACTGCATCCGCGTCCACATTGCGCATCTGCAGCGGGCATCCCACTTTGCACATCTCAAACACCATATCCCACAATTCCTTGTTTGCCCACTTTTTGGCCCGGCAACTGATAAGCCAAAACGGAGTTCTTAAGGTTGCGTGTGTTTTGGCCAAATGTAGACTCGGTTTTGCCCGCAACTTGTTGTGATTTTTGCTGCGGCCTGCCAAAGGTGCTAAAAGGTTTTTCCTTACCCGCTAGCCGCTCAAAAGAATAACATAATAAGCACGTGGATTTCCAATGGAAAATTAGAGATATTCAAATCAATTGGAAAGCAGAACACTGTTATAAGTAGGTACGTAAACCAATATTGTAGAAAAACAATTTTTTTTTATTAAATTAATTGGAAAAACAGCAGGGAAGTAAAAGTAAGTACAAAACAAGATACATTTTCGGTGCCACCCAAAAAAGTTTTAAAGTTCCTGTAAAAGTAAAATGTTTCCCGAAATCAAAAAGACTGCGAGAGTGTATAGCTCTGATTAAAGTATTTAGAATTTCGAAAAATTGATAATATCACACTTTTTATAAAGTATTAAATATTTTGGGAATATATAATATTTTAAAATTATAAACCGCAAACTGAGAATTTTAGATTTTTTATATTACAAACACTACGTCTTCATATTAAAAACTGAACATTATAAAACCTTATCATTATTTATAACCTCAAATTGTTATAAAAATTTATACTTTTATATGTATGTATAAGAAATTGTTATAGGAATGATAAACGTTCTAACAAAATTAATATTATTATGATTTACGAACTACCACTAAATTCGTTTCTTACGAATATTACGTATACGTAAACCTTATATGAATCCATGCACAACTAACACATGTAAAATCATCACCTTTCTCTTGCATTTCCTCTCTCTTTTCTTTTCACCAGCTTCGCACTTCTCCCACTTGGCATAAATTGCATTATTATTAGAGTCAAAATCTGCCAAGTGGGCCACCCCTGTTCCGAAGGTCCGATTTTCATCGAACTTTTTTACTTTTCCGGTTCACAACGAAAATATAAGAACTTCATTTGAACGGTTTTGCGAAATTTTGAGTTTTACCGGAGTTATAGGGGTCAAAACATGGCATTTTTGACACTTTTTCGAAAAAGTTGCACTCAGTCAAAAATTCATAACTTCGGAACGGTAAGAGATATCTTTATGATGTTTTCACTAATCGCTCAAGAATTATTATGGCTTTCCATAAAAAAATTTAAAAAAAATTAAAAATTTTTTTCTTAAAAATAAATCAACATTTTTTTTTAGTTTTTATTTTTTCAGTGTTCTTCACCAGCTATAGAGTTTAAAACCATTTGAAAATGAAGTTTGATTCATTACGAAAAAGATCAAAAAAAAAAAAAGGGGCCCGGACAAAGGTTTTTCGCAATATCGATTTGAAGAAGGGCGCACAGCGGATTCCCATACAAAACGACAAAAAGTGCGTCATTGACAGCTGCAGTCGGCTGACGCTACGCGCGCAACGGCATGTGTTGACCAGCCAATTTTCACGAGCAAGCCGTTTTTGTATGGGAATCCGCTGTGCGCCCTTCTTCAAATCGATATTGCGAAAAACCTTTGTCCGGGCCCCTCTTTTTTTTTTTTGATCTTTTTCGTAATGAATCAAACTTCATTTTCAAATGGTTTTAAACTCTATAGCTGGTGAAGAACACTGAAAAAAATAAAAACTAAAAAAAATGTTGATTTATTTTTAAGAAAAAAAATTTTTAATTTTTTTTAAATTTTTTTATGGAAAGCCATAATAATTCTTGAGCGATTAGTGAAAACATCATAAAGATATCTCTTACCGTTCCGAAGTTATGAATTTTTGACTGAGTGCAACTTTTTCGAAAAAGTGTCAAAAATGCCATGTTTTGACCCCTATAACTCCGGTAAAACTCAAAATTTCGCAAAACCGTTCAAATGAAGTTCTTATATTTTCGTTGTGAACCGGAAAAGTAAAAAAGTTCGATGAAAATCGGACCTTCGGAACAGGGGTGGCCCACTTGGCAGATTTTGACTCATTAGGCTTATTTGAAATGCGCCGACAACAACAACAAAAGCAAAACGATGCAGTGAAATTGCAAAAGCTCACTCAGCGTACAACAAAAAGAGAAAAAGGAGAAGAAGAAGCGTTTGAAGAGGGGGTGGAGGCGGGTGGGGGAGAAGGAGGAAGAAGGAACGTCAGTAAACTGGCTGCTGCTCATTGTTGTTGTTGCTCTTATTGATGTTGTTGTTGGTGGTGCAAAAAGCCAAAAGGCGACTACTGTTCATTTCCCACGGTAGGACTCCTCTCTCTCCCTCTCTTTCTCTCTCTGCTCGGATGCCATTCCAGTGAGACAGAAGACGACAACAACAAAAGGGGAGCCTCTCTTTGCAGCTCTCACTCATGTGGTTTTTGTTGTCTGGTCTGAGCTCGATTTGAGCTTCGTCTTACCTTCGGCATTTTTAAGCTTCGTTTTTGACTTCGGCTGCTTTGTGGGAGGCATCAGCCTCTCTTTCTCTCATCGTTGTTGTTGTTGTGCGAGTACTCGGATGAATTTCATTTTCTCATTGTTAAATTTTACAGAAATTTCAAAAATAGAAACCAGGGAAAGAAAAATCCTTAAATATATTAAAACAAGTTTAATCACTTTTCAGCAAGAAAGGCAATATTGAATTCAGGTAAACGTAATTTAACAGTTTTTTGAATTGCAAATAATTTTTTTATTTCGTAAACCGTTCTAAAGAGGGAGTTTTATCATACAATTTTAAACATAAAAATCAAATTATTTTATGTATTGGTTATATCAACTTAAGCTAAAATTCTTTTTAAACAATAATCAACGATCCGTTAATATTCGAATAAACAATTTATGTAAAACTAATTTAATATAATCTTATGGTAGTAAGTTCCACTGTACAGCAAACAAAAACAAAAAAACCTGTTGGCCGTTTTCGACTTTGAATGAAAAAAATTTATTTTTTTGTAGTTGGTCTTTTTTGAGCCTCTGGCTAAAAGGCATTTTGTGAGCATAAATCGTGAGGGGATCGGATCTCTTCCATAGGTCTCCCTTTTGTGTCTCTCCGAGTTTCAAGCCTCTAATCCCTAAGCAAGGCGCCACCTACCCCAGAGATTCCTTTTGCCCGATGCCCTCCCTTTGTAATTCCTCAATAAAAATGGAAAAACTAATAAATTTTGCCCAAGTAGAGAGACAAAGTGGGGGGTTCGAGACCCAGCGGGGTGGCTACTGGAAGCACGACAGACCGAAAAAATTATTTGTTTTGTCATATATGCAAAGTTCCATAATTTATGATCTAATATACAAAAGAAAAAAGTTTTCAGAGTGAAGGATGAAAACTTCGGCGCTTCCCATTCAACAAAAAAAAGAAAGAAAAGAAAGAATGGGGAAGAGAAAAAGAAAGAAACAAATTCATTGAAAACTTTTAAGATTTTTGGGTTGGGTTTTGACCTGATCGCGGTGTGGGATATCGGGGATCATTGTCAACATTTTGACCGCTCGCGGGGCCCGTAATCATCGGTCTATCCCCCCGCATTAACCTCATATGCCCCTTTATCCAAAATTGGAAAGAGTGACGCCGCCGCCAACATCGATTTAAATGCAAATCAATGTAATAAAACATTTTTTCGTCTTTTCACTAGGTTGCAACTCGGTTTACAGTAAAAAAAAAATTTTTCAAAAATAAAACTACATTGTAGAATCATTTAATAGGATCAGGATTTATAAAGAGACTATAACATTTTCCTATTTTTTTTTTAGAGGTATTACTTCAAATTAAGAATCCATATTAAAGTTATTAAAATTATTTACGGACTATAACGGAGTATTTTTTTTTAATTAATAACTCAAACTACCATTTATTTCTCTGTGCAGCTAACAGTATTAAATGTCGCATAGGTTAACCCTATTCTATCCTATTAATTTCGAATTGAATCTGTGACACCCACGCAGGCGACACCTTCGAGATTATATATCCCCCATGTTCGGAACGGAAGTTCGTGTGGCGCTAAGGAAAAGACCAAAGAACTAAATAGATCGTAAATCACTTAGAATCCAGGTGAAAATGTTCGAAAAGATGTGGGCTGGTAATTTGTATAGAATGGGGATTGTGTTCCCAAGAAAATAACGCAATTTACAAGTTTTTAAGCACAAAGCGGTACGGGAAATGGGGAATTTCTATTTAGACACCGAAGAGACATGGGTTGACACCTTTTCAGATCAATTGGTCAGTGATAAGAGCCCAGTTACAATGGTCCATTTTTGGATGGGGATGCTTTTATATTGTTGGCGTCAAGTGGTAGAGTGATTTTATGGTAAATAAACGATTTAGAAGACATTTGTCCCATTTGATCTATTTGGTCAAGTGATTTAATGGTTAAATCATTTAATTGTAAGTATTCAGGATGAACAATTTGAATAAAAGAGGAATTAAGCCCTTGAAATGAATTTGAAAACCATTTGATTTAACTAAGTTATCAAACTCGAAATTGATTTTAAAACTCAACGAACAACAAACATTCATTTGAACAATGGATTCCCTCCTGTCTACCCACTTTAAAAGCTTTTGCCACACACTTTGCCTACTTCTTTATGGCAAATTAATGACTGAAAAAACGAACAAGAATTTCAAATAAACCATAAATTTTATTAATTTCTATAGCGGCTGCCTCACAAAAAAGATAGCTATTCGTGTGTGTGCGACTGCTTTTTTCTTTTTTTAAAACTGAACAATAGGATCGATTCATGGAGTTCTGCAGAAATACTACCGAACCACTGCGAACCGCACCCAATTATAATAAAAAACAATTCGTATAGGACGGCGGGCGAGTGGAAAAACCTCGTCTGCTCCCACAGAAGTGACAACAAATTTAAAATTTACGAAATAAAAATTAAAATTAAATAAAACACCGCACGGCAAACAGCCAAAAATGAACAATGGACGCGGTCTGAAACCGAAAACCGAACAACGAAAATTAGCATACAAACTGAAGATCGAAACTGCATATCAAATGAGGATCCGATCAAGTTTTGTTCGGGCCAGTTCATTCAGCTGCGGATTCATTGATAGATCGTTCGCCGTTCGGTTTCCGTCCCCCGACTAACTGTTAAAATAGACACATCACCCAGCGATTTTACGAGCCAGCCGACCATAATTCAAATTTATGTGAAAACACAAGTCCGGGCCAAAAAAATAAATCAAGTCACGACTTTGGTGGGGAGAGAACACACTCGGAAAAAATCGTTATATGTGCAGTATATTTCTAACAAGCAATTTCTTAAAACTAAACCCAATATATACATTAGAGATTTTTTTTCAACAAAAATAAAACTTGATTGTTAAATAAAATTAAGTGAAATTTTGTCAAAAAATATATAAAAATTTTAAAATTATAATTTAATTTGCGTCTGAATTCCCATTGAATCTTAAGTAAATCCCTTTGATTGTATGGTAGGTGTCTCGATTTTTCTTCAGTGAGTGATACCCCCAGTTTTTTAGCACTCGCACACCTTGAATGAGGCCCAGAGACACGAAGCTAAATGACAACTCAGCCAACTACCGTGTGCCAAATGAAGAAATGAAGATGGAACCAAGTCGGGGCCTCGTCATCATCGGAATCATCAGCATCATCGTCGCCAACTGTTGACAACGCCTTGCTGCGGTGGCTGCGGTCCAGTTTCATTATTATTAACCAAAAAGTATAAAAAAATGAATCCGAAAAAACCCCAAACGGATCCCATTCAACGCCCACGTCTTCGACATTTGCCTGCTTCCACAGATTCATCCGTATATTTTCGTGTATATATTTATTATATTTTTTTGCATCTGTCTCTGCTTTCAGCCGTGGTCTTTGTTGGTCTTAAAAATTTATGTGACCGCATCGCTGCCGTATGAATTTTTAATTTTTCACCAGTCTTCTTTTTTTTACCGATTCTGTTTGCCTTTTTAATTTTGGCAATTAATGAAATTTAATACTTTTGTGTGCACTGTCTGGGGCAACATTTTTGGGTCGTTGGAATTTTTTCTGGCCTTAACTTTGTTTATTGATAGATTGAGAAAGTTGTGGCAAGGTATTTGGGCAAACTTCAAGGGTTTTTAAAGTGACAGATTGTCTGCAGATGATAGATGAGTGTGGAATATAGAATATGGCTATTTTATGGTTCTAATAAAATGAAGAGAAATTGATGGAAGCTATGGTCCTAACAAAATAGTTTTTATTTTTTATTACATTTTTATTATATGGTAAAGATCTTTCCACATCCAATGAAATATTGCATCATATTTAATACCTCCAAAATGAAGTCTCAAAAATTTCCAAGTAAGCAATATCGTTTTTTTGGGTCTTCTTTGGACGTTTCATAATTAGTTTCTCCTTTATAAAGAAGCTCCTCGCAATTGTCGATACGTCTCCTTTTCGAGTCCGCTGATTGCCCATTTAAAATATGCAAATTTGATCCGAAAAACAATAAGACAGAGCGAAGCGGAGAAAAAACAAAAGCGAGGCGGACAAAGATGAAGCCATCAAAGTGGAGTTGCCAGCGGATTGCACTTAAAAATGCCCAAAAGCAGTCGAAAATAATTTGTTAAACTTTATGGACAGGCGAAAACTTAATTAAAAACAATCCTTTTCGGGCGCACTTAATTAAAAACATTGGGTGTTAAGTTAATGAAGTTTTTTGTTGAATGAAAGACACAATTTTTCAGCTTTCATTGAGAAATCGTAAAAGATAAACAGATATGGTGAGGCAGAAAAGATAAACAGACCATCAATATGGTGTTTTTTTGTATTTTTTTTTGGTCTAAAGAGGCCACACAAGAAGAAGAGAAACAACAAAAGCGGAGGCGGCAAAGCCAAAGGAAATGCGAGAAAAAGTTTCCCAGGCCCTGGAAACAAAATGGAGCTCCACAAAAATAAAAGCGAAGAAAAATATACAAAAAATTCAGTGCTGCGTAATACGGTTGCTCTGCTCTGCCACTGGTTTTTATGCTTCGCCTCTCGCTCGCACACAAAACGGGTTAAGAAGCAGTTAAAAAGAGGGTGAGAGAGAAAGAGAGAGGGTAAGCCAGAGAGAGGGACAGACAGAGCGCCGCCCAAAGCCACGCCCACATCTATAAAAATATGCACAGGTATAAGTGAAAGAAAGTTACTATTATAACTAAACAGCAGCTAGAAGGAAAGAGAGGAAGTCCAAGGAAATGCCAAGAAATCTTGGAAATATTAAAACTTGTATTTACCAACACACCTTTCACTCATTAGTACCCCGAACTTAATTGAAATGTTGACTTACTTAAGCTTAATTAACAGTCAACTCAGGTAACGCCTTCGAAACCACTCAACTCAGGTAGCCCTCTCTCGCTCGCTCGCTCTCTCTCCCGTTCAGTCTCTCAGCTCGCTCTTTAGCTCATTTTCCTCTGACCAATCAGCTGAAACACTCAAAACTCGTTCGCACTCGACCAAGGCAGTGCGATGAAAAGAGACAGCCAGCCGAGAGAGGGCTGTAAAAAAAGAGGGTAACGAAAAAAAAGGAAAAACACAGAAAGTTCAACCCATCAAGCTGAAGTTTTCGATCGTAACTTTGCAGTTGACTCTCGCGCACAGAAGCGTTCGGAAGTGAAATATATTTTATTAATAATATTACCCAACACAGTGCTACCAAACAGAAATCGCATTTTATTTGTGCTTTGTTTTGGCAAATAGCAAAAGGATTTTCGAGCTTTTGCAATAGGTAAGTGGTGACGCCATTTTGTGGCTTTTTCGTTTCGGCTTCCGTTAGAAGCGACGCCATTTTGTGGCTTCTGTTCGCCAGCTACTGTACTTACGCATAAGAACTTAGGGCGAGCGAAAGAGACGGCTAGCGAGCGCTGCGCATGAGCAGTAGCTTCGGCTACTGGTCTTCGTTTTGCTTCGTTTCTCTTCGGATGACTCACACACTCACACAGTGCCACCGAATTGAGTAACAGACAGGGACAGAGCGATGATCTCGCTTCCTCAAGTTGCCAGCAGCGACGCCGGCAGCGACGCCGACAGAGGACGGCGGCAGAGGCGACTACTATTTCTTTCAGTTATTAGTAGCATTCATTCATTCAACTTTGTGCCGCTCGAGCGTGCGTATATAGAGTTCCCTCTCATCAGTATCAGTAACAACATCAGTAACAGTTCCTTCGCGAGTACCTTCAAAAGAGATACAAATCGATTCATCTTACCAACGGACATACGAAAATCGACCGGAAAAACAGCTAAAGCAATCGGTTAAAGACACATTTCGAACCCGAAGAACGCGTAATTCCAGTGCAATCCCATTGGGTAAGTCTTTCTTCCGCCTCTCTCTTCAATGGCGTTCTTCGTGTTCTTCTGCTCGTCGTTCTTCCCCCTTCCACACTTGTTTCGCTACCAGTTTTACGCCGCTTTCATTGGACAACTGAAAACTGAGCAAAGAAGAAGTAAAAACCCCACACGTAACACGGGTGCGTGTATCGCCCTCTCTTTCTGCCCGGTCCTCTCTGTTTGGGCACTTGGTGCGCCAGAGGGAGAGAGGGCGATGCGTCTAATATGGCGTGCGTGTGGCCAACGGAGCTTTTTCGGCCTCTGTGTGCGTGAGAAAGTGTCGCCATTTGCCAAAATGGCGGACGCCAAGTTTGAACATTTCCCTATTGGATTGTAAAAAGTTTTTACCCAAAAGTCTTGACACAAATTCTCAAATGGGGTGATCTTCATTAATGGCAAAACTCTGAAATGAATCCCTACTGGGTTATAAGATTTTTACAAAGTCTTGACATAAATTTCAAAATCTTAAATTGCTTAGTAAAGATCAAATATTTCCCTATTTAATATCATTATTAAGGATACAAATATCATAACTAAAATGTACACCTTTATTGGAAAACTTTCAACACATACATATTTTTAATGCATAAAATTAATAACAAATTTAACAGAAAAAATAAATTTTCAGTATTGAATAACTTCTTTTACCAAGATTATCCTATGATTCTATTGAACTTTTCATGATATTATACCAACAAGTGTCAGATCCTCTAGCAACTTATAAATCCGTCGGCATTTGTTCAAATCGAAAGAATGGAAGCTCATAAAGTTGATGAGTCAGCATGAAGAAACTTCTTTGAGATTGGACAAAAGCCTAGTTTGTCGAAGGTTGATCGCAAGACGCACAAAACACAGCGAATCATCGCCAAGAATGTCCGACAGATCATCATCAGCCGTTTTGGTACAAGTTTTTTAACTATGAGTCATGGAGTTGTGCTTTTTTCATTCGATTATGAAATACCAATGAGCACGGCTCAAGCTACCAACAGATGTTCAAAAAGTTTGGTGAATGTCGAAGTTTTTTTAAATACCAAAGAGTTTATCAAGTGGCCAACACTTGTGTAAAAACTCCCATGATTCTAGAGGAAAATTGTAGAAATCGGAACTTTTCGTAGGTGCAAACAGATTATTTCTTTTTCTCACTTAAAACTATTGTTAAAAAGTCTCCAAAAACCCATGATTCGAAGGGAACTTTTAAAACTTTGTCACTTTGAACCATTTGGGAACTGTGAAAAAATGCATTTAAATAATTTATGTGCGACTTCTTGATTCAGGTTTCTTGCTCTTTGCATTGAGGAGTTCTGGAATTTTTACCGCTTTTCTCGCGACCATTTTTTTTCCGTCTGTGTGATCTTTGACCTCGTCTGGACCGCCCGTTGCGCTTCATCAATTAGAGTCTAATTAGCTAAGCGTTTACGGTAAATGGGCTCAGCTGGCAGCTAATCTGCGTCGACTTTTGAGCAACTGTCATATCTTAACGGCTGAAGGTGAGAAGCGGTCGAAATCGACTTTCTTTCGTCCCGAAATTCCAAACCGATTTGCGATGGATCTAAAGGAGATTCCGATCCCTCATACCATTCCATCATTGTATCTTTGTATCTTGTGGTGTGTTTGTGTTTGGGGTTACCTTCCTTTGTTTGCGCTGAAGTGGCACTGCCACATATCCTAATTGTTTCCACCGACTTATTGGTTCTGTTGTCAGGACAGGACCCCGTGTGTGTGTGGGTGTTTTTCCCGGGAATTTTGCGCCATTAGCACAATTAGATTCGTATCAAATGGACTTCGGTGCCTTTGTCTTGCCATCCTTATGTCCTTTTATTGTCATTTATTCTCGCTTCGGTTTTTTCTTTTTTTTCACTTTTCGGTTGTAATTTTTAATGGCACCTTGCCAACTCACTGTCCGCCTCCTACAAAAAATAAAAAAAAACATAAAGGGATGGTCAGAGATGAGAGGTGAAAGAAGTGTGGTAATCGCTTTTGACCATATCCCACGTCCTTCGACGTGTGTGTCACTGCTTTGAGCCCTTTTTTGGACCCAGTTTTTGAGCCTGTTATCGCCCATACCGCTACACATTTATCTCGGGGTGTTAAACTGTAACTCTCGAGGTCCGAGGTTCGTATTCGTGGAAGTCCCCGACGCACTTACTCTGCACTTCTTGTGCTGGCATCTCGCCAGAGATCTCTTCCATATATAATCTCACTCTCTGTTTGCAGTTTGCCATTTTATTTCTCTTTCCCATCGGTGCAAATCTAATTTCACGCAGCATTAACGCCTTTCGCATGCCCTTCACACGGAAATCCAAAGTCCAGAGTCAGGATCATGCTGTGCAAAAGATCTCCCAAAGATCTTCAGATCTCCATATCTCAACCTTGCCGTCCAAAAAGTATGTGTGTGTACAACACTAATTATTTTCAGTGCGGATTAATGGGATTATCTTTGCGTTGGACAACAGTTTATTATACAATATTTGGGCAGTTTCCCTCCGGTTCTGTGGGTGTTCGTTTTTCGCTTAAGCGGATTGCTATTTGCAGTTGCCAAATACTAACAGTTGGAGATCGCACGGAATCCTGGATCAAAAAAGGTGCCAAGTAACGCCTGTTTGGATTTTGGCATGGTTTTGCACAGGTTGTCCGTTAAGTTGTAATATTGTTTGGCTTGGATTTTTAACGGATTAGAAAGATCTGCTTAGTTGATCGTAAGATTGGGTATGAACAGAGGTACTAAGTATTAAAGTAAAGGCAATGAGATTGACTTCCCTGGTAAATTCATGTATTATTCTGGTTTTACAGTCATCTTCAGTTTAAAGTACTTAATGTTTACTTATCTCATCTTCCGTAAATATTAAGAACGCTTACTTATCACGCAATAGGATAGTCCTTCTTTTTTACCTTTATTATTTAACTTCCCCAACTCACCTAACCTTCCAAATTGATGGGCTCACTCAATTGTCAGCTCGAATTTCACCGCTCTCGAAGGTTTTCCCTCTGTTATCCCCAGACTTCAGACAATCCCATCGTCATTCGACGCATCCAGCAAATGGCCAAATAGAGTGCTTAACCCCGGAGAGCAACCCGTGGCTAATGGTGCTCCACTTAGGCCCACGCTCCCAGAGACAAACTGAATACAAATACAAATCCACGGCCAAATCCGAATCCGAGTCCAAATCCAAAGCAAGGCATGGCCAAATGCGAGACCGATCGGAGCGGAGAGACCCGGACCCAAATGAATCCATATCGAATGGATGGCCTTATGCAGGCGCCCTGTGTCGCATGATTAACGGCGTTAAAATGCCAATGTGACGCCACATTGTGTACACAAATTAACATTGGAGGAGTCCCTCTTTTGGCCAGGCTTTTGAGCCGATCTGAGCCGAGTCCCAGTCTCCCGCCAGACATGACCAATGCGATCAGCGACCCAAGCTCGAACCTCTGCACCGCGCCCACTGTGGAAAAAAGGGGTATCAAAACTAGGAGTTATATTTGAAAGTTTAGAGATTAGAGTCAAGGGTTAAGTACAACTTTTAGAAAAACTAGTAGAATTTTATGGATATTTTGAAATAGTAAATTATATCTTGTTTATATTAAAAGATATAACATTTTAGATTCAAGATCTTAAGATCTTAAGGTTACAATTTTAATATAATAACAGTATACAATCCCAATCAAGAACCATTTTCTCTGAGTGCCGGTCTCAAGCGAGACCCAGTGTTATAATTTGAATATGTTTAGTGGGCATTAATGTTATAATGACAATAACTACGTACCGTCTGCGGCTGGTGCAGCACCCGCTGTGACTTTTGCCTTTTGTTGTCAACGTTAGCTCCCCGATCGCCGATCCCCAAAACCGTACCCGTTTCCATTTCCATTCCCATTCCGCATCTGAATCCCAATCCCAATCCCATTCTCATTCCCATTCCCAAAAGTGTTCCAGCTGCGAGCTGAAAGCACCATAACATATAAATAAATATCGAAATCGGGTCTTGCCGAGACGCTTGTCGCTACCAGTCAGCGCTGGCTTTTGTTTCGCGCAGAAAAAATCCCGAATACCCCGAGCGAAACAAAAAGGCCAGTAAATCTGGGAAATATATATCCCAAAACGATGAGGCCAGGGGAAAAAATCCAGAAATCCAGCGGCGCCGAAATGACAAAAATAAAATTACATAAAAAATAACAGTTGTTAACTACCGCGCGGGTGAGAAGGGAAAAAGCGCATCGATGGGCATAAATTTCGTTCGGCTACGCAAGGCGCCAATTAAAAATAAACTTGTTACAGCGCCACCTTAATGAAGTGGCCAAAAACAGGGAGATTTTGGCAACTGTACTTGGTCATAACGCGGCGGGGGAGTTTTCAAAAGGCATTGGCTCGGCAGCGAGATGACTCAGTTAATTTAGAAATGCAAAACCGACCATGGGAACTTGGGTATTAATGGAGATAACATTATTACATTTGGTATGGGGAGTCTTTTTGTTAAAGACATTTCTTTCAAAATGATTTTATTGCAGTTCCATTTACTAAGCTTTTCGGATCCTGAGAAATCTTGTGGATATGGTTTTTTAATAGGTAAATATTCTCTTGGTGAAAAGTACAGAAAGTTGGTACTGCCAAAAGTACCTACCCCACTAATTGAATAATTGTGTTTGCGGAAGTATAAACTTCCGTCAATGAACTTCGCTAAAAATTTTAAAGAAAATGTATACAAGTACTAAAGTATTTTAACCCAGAGACAATGGTGAACAATCGTTGGTGTCGTTGAAGACAAATTATTATAAAGCCCGCCGAAGGTTGGCAACTGTGAAAAACAGTTGTCTGGACGTCGGGGTGATTTGTAAATGTCAACACCGCGTCCGAGGTGCGGATTTGGTTGCTTTTAATGAGTCATTGCCGATTTCATGTTGCGTGATCTCGACATATTGTTGTTGCCGCACATATGCATACTGTTGTGGTTAAAGTAATGACACTTGGGTTTAACCATAAATTAGTATTGTTGATTAACAGAAGCTAAACACAATATTAATAACAGAAGTGTTACTAGATACGAGATTTCTAGTATTCAACATTATTCATATGATTTGATTTGCATATATCCTCTTGTTCTTTGATAACTTGGCTTTTCCTTAACAAATTGTTTTCAAAACTGGAATACCATTTTTTAAACGTTAACTATCTGAATTTAACAGACTTTAAGTTTATAAATTGAAGTTTGTTTATAGCTCAGAAATGTGATACGAAATTAATCGAAATCACGAATTTAAGTTGCTATTCATTTGACCGCGGCTGTTTAGATATAAGCCGGGACATTTATATATATTCCGGCTGAAATTTATTAACCCATAAAAGTTGTCGCAGGCGTTGCTAACTTTATTTAAACTTTGCGTCTCCCTCTGTTTTAGGTGTTTGCCTTAAAGTGCGCCATAAACTAAAAGCCAAACCTAAAAGTCGGCGGAGAGAAAAAAAATAAATAACGCCCACCGAAACGCAACACCACCTACTGGTCACCCGTGAAAAACTGTGAAAAAAAAGGGGAGGAGAGGTGAAATCACAGAGCAGCGATATACGGGCCAAAAAGATAAAGTCGGCAGGAGGAAGAGGAAGCGACGTTGCCGCTTTTCACCGACCAATCAGCCAAAAAGGCAGCAATTAAACGCGGTGTTATCTGGGTAGATAGCGATTAGAGGTGGCGAGAAAATAAACCCCATTGAGTGGAAAACCCCCTTCTGTGGAGTCGAACTGAGCGCAATAGAGCGAGGGCTGAAAAGCGGGAGTGGATCCTATAGAAATACCCATTTGCCGAGAGCGCGAGTATACGGTTTGGAGAGCCCCGAGCAATATTTAGCAGCCACACTTGGAGCACCCCACTCAAGCACTCAAACACTCAACACCGCCGAGCAGAAGTACACATATCGCCTGTCAAAATGTTTGCTGTAATGCGAATCGACAACGATGACTGCCGGTCCGATTTCCGCCGCAAGATGCGTCCGAAGTGCGAGTTCATTTGCAAGTACTGCCAGCGGCGATTCACCAAGCCGTACAACCTGATGATCCACGAGCGCACCCACAAGTCCCCCGAGATCACCTATTCGTGCGAGGTGTGCGGCAAGTACTTCAAGCAGCGGGACAACCTGCGCCAGCACAGGTAAGCAATATCCCAGTTCCCAAGTCCTCAAGTCCAAATTCACCCCATTACTACCGCACAGTAAACGTTTACCGGCTAAAACTGATTTTATATGATTTTTATGCAGATTAATTCAGTACTAGCATTTTTCAACGATTCCATTAAAAACTTTATTTCTTGTTAAAGGCTAAATTAATTTTTAAAGTCCATTCAAGTCTATATGTTTAGATAGTCATATCATATATAACAGATACATTGTCATTTGAGAATAGTCGAATACTTATAAAGGTATTCTAATAAAAATCATCTAAAATCAATATGGTTGGTTAATATACGAAAAAAATATGAGTCAAATCGATAAAGACCAATATGATTAATTTCTGCGTGTAAATATACAATTATCCAAAAATATAATGCATGAAATAAGCTAACTGAATCTACCCAAATTCGGGTTTTTTTTAATGGTGTTGGATATATAAAATTAAATTTTTTTAAAATTATTTTCTTTAAAATATGTCACAAAAAAAGAATATAAATATTATTATTAGGTGAGAAAGAAAAATGTTTAAAAATATTACAAAGTATCAGTTTGTTTTGTAAAAAAAAACCTTTAAAATGTGATAAGTTCGTTGTAGGTATGTACATTTTTGTATATAAATGCATATTATTATAAGTACCTAGGGAAAGTTAAAGTCCCCTGGTATCTATAAATATTAATGTAGAATACAGTAGGTAGTTCATGCATAATTGCACAGCAATACCAGGAAAATATAATTATTTAAAAAATATAGTTATAACCATAGTTATTTAGTCTCTGTAATCTGACAGGTTAAATTTCATCTTAGTTTTTCTTTCAAACAATTTAAACAACTAAATTTGTTAAAACTAGATTCAACAATATAAAAAAAACCTTGATAAAATGGAACTCAAATATAGAAAAAGTTATTTTATCAATAAAGTCGATACATTATAACAAACCTAGCCGAAAAAGTTAAGATAACTCCCGAATTTTCCAGAGCAAAAGCTTTTTTTGATTGAATAAAAAGCTTAATCACATTATCAGCATACTCTCATGTATATACACACAAAAAAAAAACTTGGTAAAATCAACTGTAATAATTGTCAAACAGGCCCCAACCAGAAAAATTGTCAGTTCTACTAAGTAAATAGTCATTTCACAACAACAAAATACACACAATTAGCAAAGACACAAACCCAAAGCAAAAACAAAATACACGCAACTATTTTAATAGTTACGTAACTATCTTTGTTGGTCAATTTTACCAAGCAAATTTTTTTGTGTGTACATACACGAACACATAACAGTCCATGAAAAAACCGAAAACATTTTTTGGGCAGTCAGCAACGCTTTGTTAATATTACTTAGAATTATTGAAATTTTTTTGCCACATCACGAATTATTCTCTATTTTTCTGTTTCTCTCTCTTCTATTTGTAGATGTAGTCAGTGTGTTTGGCGATAAGCTTAAATACCATATAAACATATATATAAATATATATAAAAAACACACACAGAGCAATATATAAAGTAAAACCGATATCTAAGCACCGCCGCACCAACAACAGCACGCAATATCACAGCTATATCTTACACACACAAATTGAATGAATGGGATCTGATGAGGCAACTGCAACACACCCCGCCTACTTCTTCATGCACCACTCTTTAAACATATATAAAAATACCTGCAACAGCAGCAACTGCAATATTGCTTAAACTACTAGATGCAATCTACAGCCACGACAAGCGATTATAGTGAATGGAATGCTAAGTTCAGGTGTTGGTTTTCAATCTATTCGGTTATCTGGTCTATACAATGCACTTGCCACGCCCCCATCAACAGCAGACAAAAAAATCCAAACGTTGCGCAGGCGCAGCACAACAGCAACAGTTGCAACAGTTGCAGCAAACATTGCAACAGCAGCCCCATATTATCAAAAATACTTGCAGAAATCTACACATGGACACTTGTGGGCGTGGCTGCTTCGGAAAGTGATGAAGGAGCACAAATAAATCAAAAACCAGAAACATGCAACATCTAATATCTGAAAGCTTGCAACATCCTAAAATGCAGCATTTAAAAGCACACAAGGTTAAGAAAAGAACTGCAATATCTATAAATGTTCTTAGCTGCAGTAATGTAAAAATATAACATCTGGAAAACTTCTATCTGCAATTCTAAAAAACTGCTTACCAACATCTTGAAGACAAATAAACAAATCTACAACAGCAAACAGCCCACACGCAACAGCCGAAAATCCACGGAAATCCCAACTGAATTCACTAAAACACCTAACAGCAAAACATGCAACACAACAGCAACATGTTGCTGCTGGCTTTCTCACATGTGTTGCTCGTGTTGTCAGCGAAAGTGCAATTAAGCCTAAGCTTCTTGCGCTTTTAAAAATGCAGGCAACAGCAGCCACACACAGAGCAACACACCAGCAGCATGCAACGTGCAACACCCATATACCATCAGCAACATGCGACAACAATCAGCTGCAATTATCTTGCCTTAAACAACATTGAAGATTTACACATACACCCACGCTCGCTATATTTTTATGAATAATACAAATTAATTACAATTTAATAATATTATTAAAAATGCAAGAAATCAAAAAACAAACACCCACACACATACATCATAAGTATTTGTATTTTAAAAAAACGAAAGAAAAAACACGTTGAAAATGTATTACATAAAATTAATCATAATTAATAATAATAATGAAAACAATTATTAAATAAATAATTACGATATGCGATTGTTTTGTTTAAGTTTAAATTTTAAATAAATAGAAAGAAAAGCGATAAATTGTGCGTAAAATCAACGAAAAATAATGAAAAAATTGTTTTTTGTTTTTGTTTCCTTCTTTTAAGTGCCCGGCAATAAGATTGTAAATGTTTTCCGCTATTTATAATAAAAACTGATTTAATTAATAATGCCATCCTCACTCTGGACATTTTCTGTTTTATTTTCCTCGAATAAATCAGCTAAAACGATAAACATCAATTTATAAATAAACCTAATGTTAGACGGCGAAACAATAAGTAATTAAATAAACATATTTATACAATTAAAAGAAAATACAATCATAAAAACCCTACAACAAATGTGTATTTTATGGTGGAATATAAGTTGGTTAAAGCTGAAGTGTATTTTCCAATAAGTGTCTATTGGAACTATTTGGACAGTTTGTTTTTTTTTTAACTTTTTTTATGGAATATTTGGAGTGAGGATTTATGGGATCATCATCATCAGCTGAAAAGCAAAGAATGGGAAATATTTTAAATTTAAATTAAAGATTGAAAAATATTAAAAAATGGTATGGATCATAGCAGGTTTTTGCTGGCTATCAATAAAAGTTTAATCACAGGATAAAATTATTAAATATATGTTTCTCCAGTGCTTGTTCTAAAAAAAACACTATAGTTTTCTCTAGAAAATATTTAATTTTGCAGTCAGGTAATTTAATGATTGAGTCATTTAATTGTAACTACTAAATTACGCAGTAAGCTAATTACCGAACAGTTTACAGCTATATTAATTTTATGGTCAATCAGTTTCCTAGCATTTGAAAAGATGGTTCGTTTTTGTTTCTTATGATTTTGGTGATTTTTAGGGAAGAGTATTTTTTACGTACTACTTTCAGATCTTCTATTTTTCTTTAATTAAATCATAAGAAGCTGATGATTATTTTATCTTGTTTATTATGTTAATCTTAATATTAATCATAGTTTCCAATTAAATATCGCAGATTTTTAATCTTTATATTTTAAAATGAATTTAGAATATAAAATACTTTTGAAACAGAACAAAAATTTAAAATACCTTTGCTTTCTGATCGAATTCTTATCTGCAACACGTGGGTGTACTGTGTGCACTGTGTGTTCAGGAAACTTCTCACCTTCGATGTGTGGCTGGTATCTCCCCTTTGCGAGAACCCACTGTACCTGTGAGGGATGCGATAATCAATTCATCGCAACGTTTGCCGAGCATTTAGGTTAACTATTTACCGACAATTAAGCAAACTATTAAGACCAACTGCTCCTTTGTCGGCTCGCACAATTGGTAAATACCAGAATTCCGACGGGTAAAGGAGAGGAGCATATATAATTTCACATGCGATCATAAATCATTTCTCAAGTTCGAAAACCGAAATTCCCTGTTCACTGTTCCCTTCGGCCCGCTGCGTTCGTGTTAATTAAATATTGACTATGTTTTGATAAGCCGTAACATTTGCCCCGCGGAGGGAGTCCTCACTCCGATTTCAGGTTCGATTTTCCACAAATTTAAATGTTAGCACTACGCGGCAGGATCCCAGAGAAGGGAGAAGAAGATACCAAACCCACGGCGAGTTGCACATAATGAAAGCGTTTCCAAATGCGAAACGAATGCTGGAACAGCTACTGTGGCGAGTGTGGGCCAGGACATATAGACATATAGATATAAGGCCTGTGGTCGGGATGTGGCCTGTGGTTATCTCGCAGGTACAAAACTGGACAAAATAATAGGTAGATCCACCCGACCAACGGGAGATCGAAAAAGTAACTGAAATGCTGACTTTGGCGTTTAATAGTATTAAACCTATAGAAAATAAAATATTTTTAAAGCAAAGAGTAATGTAAAGAAATAAATATATTTAAGATATTATTCTATATAACTTATTCGATTATAAAATTTAACTAGCTATAACATGTGTTTTATTTTATTTTCCTAATAAAATTAAATAAATTTAATTGTTCTTATAAATAAATTAATTAAAGATTATATTTAATTTGCCTTTAATAACTGTAGATTCGAAAAATCTCCAAAATATATATTTTTTTGCAATGTTCTTTTTAAATATATGTATAGTATTTAGAAAACTATGCATCTACTACCGCGTTATTTATTGCTTGTCTTTGCCAAAGAAAAAAGTGAGCAGCAGTGAATTTTCGCAATTGGCTTGCACTGCGATTGGTCTCGCATTTCTCGGTGGCACTTCTATTATTTTAACCTCCGCTGTGGAGCGGCATGTGGTCGCCTTCCGAGGCACGTGTGGTTTTCCAGCTAACCGCTGGAGAGGCTGCTGCTGCATCCGCCGCTTCCTGCTGCTGCTTATGGCATTAACCTAAACTGTTTCCACCTTCCTTCCCGGCCAAAAGGACGACGGCCACGCAGTTGGACTTCGGAATGGCATCGAAAAGGAGTCGCTGGTATCGGTGGTATCGGAGTCACATTCAGAGTCAAATCCGGGTCAGAAAGGAGGCCCAAACGGAGGCCCGCTGTGTGCGCCGTCACCCGCTGATATTGTTGGCCGCACATTGGTTTAGGTCCGAGGCCCAGCCAAAACTGAACTAAACCAAGCCGATCCTTTGCGATACGACACATATCGCCAATGGTCAGGGGCGAGTCACTGCCCACCCACTCGCAGTCAACTAAAAAATTATATAATGCTACAGAAAGTGAGGAGCAAACACAATGTATACAAATCTATAGGACATTTTGCAATATATAACTGAAAATTGTTAAAAAAAAATTTAATTATAGCTCAATCAATTTCGGTCATCTTTTTGGCCAGGCCCAAAACTGATTCAACACTTCGGTAGCGCAATCATTATTTCCGTTTCTCACAAGGTGACAACTTGGGTTTTTTTAAGTGCAAATGCAGATTTCTTTTATGGCCTGATTCACCACTCTTCATAGCCGCTGAGTGGCTACCAAAAAGAAAAAACAGTTTTCTCAACCAACTGACTCATTCAAATTTCTATCCAAGTCTGCGGCTAAATCTCACGCAGTCATATCTAAGCGACATATTTGGCAACAGGTTCCAGTGCCAGACTCCTCCAACTGATAAAAAACTGATCTCGAAGGTGCGACGAGTCAGCAGCTGATATATCTGGGCAACCTGAGCAGCAACCTCAGCAGCAGATTCCAACTCATCAGACCTTTCGGCATTCGGATTCAGACTTTGGGACCCGTTAAGCGACGGTGTCTAACTTATTAGATGTCATTTGCTGATAAACACTTGAAATACTCTACATGAGGGAGGTTTAACGGATTGCTAAAAATTAAATACACTTTAATAGCATTTAGTTATGGAGGGGGGAAACAGAAAAAGGTTCTTGATAATAAGATTCTTAAGAAAGAGTATTACAGATGTCTTATTTTCCTTTAGAAGAGATAGGTTCCCAAGAATTATAAACTAGATGCATTAAAAAGAGGATCCCGACGTCGGTGTTTGGATTCCCCTAATTTGCACGTAATAAGTGACAGTGGGTCTGGCCATATATGTATACGTTCATACACCCGAGAGTCGTTTGCCCCGATCCGATAGCATCAGTGCGATGTATTGGAATGCTTCACCAGGTTGTCATCACGTAGGATCGCATAATTCAGCTTTTTACGGCTAACGGGCGGCCGCTCCTGTGGCGGCTGCTGTATCTGCAATTAAAAGATCCCAACTACCATAAAGTGCAGAGAGCAAGGCACTCTATATAAGCAATCTACACCCTCATACTTACTTATATATATACATATGTATAACTGAACGGATTCCAAAGCGGCACGTACAAACTCGCGGCTATTTGTCTGCTGACTTGTCTGCCTGCTTCTTAACTTATTTTCCTTTATTTATTTATTTTTGTTCCGCATTTTTTCAGTTGCCTTTGGTTTGTCTTACTTGGCATTGTGATTGTGATTGTGGCGGAGCCGAAAAGATTTGTGGCCGGCCAAGACTTCAGATCCCGGTCGAGGTCCAGGACCAGGTCTCCAGGACCAGATCTCCAGCTCTCCAGATCCCCAGCCCCAGCCCAATCCAATCCATGTTCACTTCCCAGCCGCAGTTCCAGCTTCGGCTGCCTGTCGCTTTTAATCTAGCAAAGCAATCGTTGAATGCCACTAAACT